GGAAGCGAACACAGTGGCTGCATGTGAATTTCCTGGTGCTAAACAAGCACTCAGTCTGTGCCTGGAATACCACTCTGAAAGGGCTTCAGCTGGTGTCCAGAGAGAAGGTGATTATCACCATCCTATAAACCCTCCTTGTCTTCCACAAAGCGCTGAGCTAAGGGCAAAGCATGCCACACACGTACAGTTTTCCACCTTCTCCAACGAGCAATGCCTGGAGATTTTGAGTGTGGTCATTAATGTGCCTCTCCTCCCCTGTTTGGGTGTGCAGAGGATGGCTTATAAAAGATGTAGCAGGTAGGCTGCCTTGTGGGGTTATATTTGCAGCTTTTGTTTTGTTAAAGGAGACGATGACTTGGCTGTAGAACATGTTTTGCTCTGCAGTTGGCTGGCTGTGTCTTCTCAGCACCAGCCCTACTGATCTTGTGTGTGTTTCTGGAAAAGAAAACGAGGGGCAGAGAATGGAAAAAAGAAAGAGAAGAAAGAAAAAAAAATAAAATGAGAGTTGCTCTGGAGCACATAAAGGCGGCTTGAGCTGTTTATGATCCCTAAAGCCTTACACTGTGTACCTTGGTGGGCTAATCTTCTGCAACCTGCTGTAATTAGGTACCACTTAGCCACATGACCCAGCAAAGCCTGCTATGCCTCTAATCCAAAGTCACTCACCCATCAGGGAGGTTCTTGGCACATTTTGCTATTGGTTCCCAACTTTCTGAGTGCCCAGCATGAGTCTCACGGCAAAGACTGTGTCCTTGGAAGGTGCTGCAGCCTGACGGATCTTGTCCTTTTCAATATACATTCATTCTCCAAAATCACAAACGGGTTTTGACCACTGTGGTTCTGAGTCAAATTTTCTCCCTCATAATCTGTACTGGTGAGGATCCTGGTGAACTTTGGGCAAAAATTTGAGGTTTGTGTTTCTTGATTCAGCTCCCAAATTCTGTTTGGAGTGGCTGATCTGCACTAGAGAGAAGCCTGAATGAAACATGCAGGTCTGAATCCAGACCTCATCTGGAAGTTCAGGCTGCCTCTCAAGGAGATGGGTATATAAAAATAGCTAAACAGTTTCTTCAGAGTCTACTTTGGCTTTACAGCTCCACTAATCATAATCCTGTGCGTGACATCACTACTGCCTGATATTAATCCTCGCAGAGCTGCCTGCTCCTGTAAATGTGAACAGGGAGGACTGTGAGTGTAGAGAAAGATCAACTTTGTTCAGGTCACTGTGGATGGTCAAAAAACAAGAGGGAAAGAAAAGTGCTGGTTGGACTAGATTTAGAAAGACTGTGCTTCTAGAAGACCTCTGAGGAAACTGCAGCCCTAATCTCTTCCTAGCAGAGCACCAGGTAGAAATGTCTCAAAAAACAGTTCAGCAACAAGTGCCATGAAGCCAAAGTCCTCAAGTGCAGGAGAAGCTTGTTGCATTGTAGGGTTAAGGTTTTCTGTCCTGGTTCTGCAGGATGCTGACACTTTGACTTTGCAGAACTTGAGAAAGAGCAAGCTACTGTTTTCCAGCTGTAGTTAAAATTTTATGAAAAGTACTGACAGTGTCGGTTCCATCTCAGGTGCCCACTGAGATGTGCCTAATAATTGCCAGTTGTGACTGGGAAGTGATGGCTGTTCCCCTGGGTGGCTTTCTTTTGGGTTACTTAGACTAAACAAAAGCCCTTCTCTCTACTCCTGGTTTAGAATGAGATACAGTTGAGTTATTTCTGTTCTTGGCCTCACGCTGATACCCCTCAGGTTGCATTTGCACCTCAGTTGGACTCCTCTCCTGCCCCCTGGTACCTCCCTGCTGGCCCCATTGCAGGCGTTCTGCTCTTCTTCCTCCCAAAATGCCAAATCGCTTGCTTCAGCTCCCCGACAGTTTTTAACTGCTGCCTTCCCAAGTCAGTCAATAGTTTTCTGGTACCAAAGTGCTGATTTTGGAGCTAATCCAGGAACACGGGAGCAGAAGCTGTGTTCCTCGGCTCGCTGGCTGCCTGGGGGGGGCTCTGCAGGTCACCCCCAGCAAGCTGAGGTCCTTCCACGTGCACAGAGCAGCTCATCCGCATCCCTCTCTGCCTGTGTGCTGTGACATATATACACATATCCTGTGTATTTCATAAGCACAGGTACTGCTTATCATATGTATATATTCTATGTAGCATATCACCTATTGTTACTATATATATACTATCATATAGACATTCTATATTTATACTTGTTCCGTGATTGTATGAAATTATAATATATTAATACACTACACAATGCGTATTAATGAATTGATAGATTATATGAATAAATATACATTTTGTATGTAGATAAAATACACACAAGCTCCAGGGGCTTTTATATATATATATGTATATATACACACACATATATAAAAAGATTGTATGAAGAGATAAAAATATTCAGTAAATCATATATATTACATGTAGTAATATATAACCATAGTAATACTTATTATCTATATATCATAAGATTATATACGCAGTGTATACAAAATATACACTGTAAAAATATGTACAAAATATTGTGTAATATTTTCTAAACTCAGGGACATTTTATATACTTATTTATAATCTACTTGTAATAATCTAATAATTTTCATAATCTAATTTATATATGCGAGTATTGCAAATATTACACAGATAACATCTAGAGACATGTATGAAATATGTAATGTATAAATACAAGTTATACGTTGCATTAATATATGTAAAACATTAAAAACTATATATTAATTATATATAATATATATATTGAATACATCATATATATTACCTATATTATAGCAATATATATATAATATATAGTTTATATATCAATATAATATACATATGCTATATATAATTTTATCTTTATATATTCTGTTTAATATATAGAAAGTATGTAAAGAATGTATGCATTCTGTATATATGAGAAATGTTTTTATGTACTAATACACATAGATACAGATATAAAAATGCCCTTGGGACTTTGCAAAGGGGGGACATGTCAGGCTGTGCTCCAACACTGTATATAATATCTGCAAGATATGCAAGCTGCTTTTAAAAGACCTGTTTGGATCCAGGATGACAAGCAGCCAGTGCTACCAAACTTTTTGTTTTCAAGCTAAAATCACACCTATTTGTACACCACGTTGAGTAGAGAGTGGGGGTTCTTACCCCAGCCTCTCTCTGCAGAGGCACCTGGAGGATTGCAGAGTTTGCCTGGCGATCACAAATGTAGGAAACATTCCCTGCTGCTGTAGTAGGAAGAACTCAGAGACTTTCTGATTTGCCTGCAAGCAAATCTGTCAGTTCCCTGTCTGTGCTGACCAAACTCAAGGGAATAATGACATGCTGGCACGGAGCAGAGAAGGTTTGAGCTGACACTTGCTGTGTATTACACTTAGAAGTGCTCTAATGCTGAAATAATTGGCTGGTTTTACATCCGGACAAGACTGGAGTGTGGCTCAAACAGATTTGTGCAAGCAGTTTTTGGTGGCCGTGCTAGTTGAAGGTGTTGCTGTCCTTCCTTCTGTCCTCAGTCTCATGCTGTGCAGTCTGTGCCACTGGCTGAGAAACAACCCAGTGAAAAATAGAGAGCCTCACCGTGCCTTCAGCGAAGGTGAAAGCATCATCTCATAATATGATTTCTCTGAACCCCCGGGGAGAAGGATTTTTTGCCTGGCGAATGAAATATGTGCTTTCTTCTTAAAGTCTGACAGCTCAGACCAGTCCTTCAGGAGCTTGTGTGTGTTTCTTGCTGAGGCTATCTGGCCCACACCACTGCCTGTTCTCTGCCAGCACTACTGCTTCGTGCCCAGCTCCTTGCAGAAATAACATCCAGGCTTAAGGTATCATTATGCCAGATACAAGAGGCTCAGTTGGTCATGCCTGATTCTTTTTTTTCAACGTGATTTAGTTTGGACTCAGTGCTTGCAGACAAATTACAGCCGTCTGGTCTTCTGGCAGTGTGGGTTGACAGAGCATTATTATCCATATATATACTTATATGAGTCCTGATTATATGAGTTTAATTTGGGGGAATGAGGGAGCTGTTCTTCTAAACTGCTAAATTAGGGTGGAGAGGCTTAAACTGAGCTGAGAATTAAATTATTTGAGCCTCTCTTTTACTGACAGGGAAAGACAAAAAGGTACCCACCCTCTCTAGTTTTACTAAAATTATATTTTTTTATAAAAATCCTGTTCATGGTCTTGTCCTAAAGGCAGGTGTCCTGGTGCAAGCAAAGGAATCTGACGTTCAGTTTCTCAGCTTTGGGTGCAAGACAGTCTGGCAAGTATTTAGTGTCATGTGCTGAGGAAGGGTTTAATGAATCCTGATGCACTTCTGTTCTCCTTGAGCTTTTCCTTCCATTCCCATTTTCATTTCATTCCCATTTTCCAAGAGACAGGTTCACAACACACTGCTGAGGAAATGGTCCTGGTCTACAAGCTGGTGGTCTTGGGAGGTTGGCTTTGTGCTTAGCATGATAGGATACAACAGTTGTGTAACACAAAAACTGCTCATGTTGTTTGCAAACAGGGCATTGGAGCAGTTTGGAAATGAAAAAAGGAAGAGGAGCTTCAGGCTCTGCGAACTGCTGGGGAGCCTCTCCCTGCTTCCTCTGTGTCTTGCAGCTAGTGATAGTCCTGCGTGGCTGGGGAGATATTTGGGGTGGCACATTTGATGAGTCTGGGGGTTTTGAGTCTGAGGGCTGTCACTACATCTGTTATTCTGCCCAGAGTGATTTGTTTGGCAATGCTGATTGATTGTCTGTGAGCTCAATTCTCCAGCCAGGCAGAACTGCAAAGCCCCAAGGAAGCTGTGAGCCTCATGTGGGGGTAGTTCTCTTGCACCTCTGTTTAGCTGGAAGGGGGAGTACCATGCTGAGAGGGGTGGGCTGCTCGACTTCAGACCCTTTACTTGAGTGGAGGAAGACAAGAAGCTCCCAGACCCAAAGTTGTCTCCCTGCATTGTAAAGGCAGTGGGATATGGCACCTGCTGACCCCAGGGATCTTGTCCTTCAGTTCCAGGGAGGCGTGTGGTCCCTCAGCACTGTGCTGTGCGATGCCCTGATGACCATGGACGTGATGCTGTGCACGGCCTCCATCTTCAACCTCTGTGCTATCAGCGTGGATCGGTAAGTGCCTTCCTCCTCCTCCTCATGCCAGCAGAGAGGTGCCTGGCCACAGAGCCGTGTCCCAGCTCCAACCTGCTTCCACACACACCCTTTTAAGGATCCCATGCAGGGAAGCTGCATCTTGTTTCCCCCAAAGGAAGATGTTCTGTGCTACCACCCTGCCTTGTTGTCAGCTTCATGTCCCATCCGTACCCTTGTGGCCAAGCTAAAAGCACAGTGTGCTAGGACAGAGCTGTCCCATTGGGTGCTATTCTGAGGGGGGAGACTGGTTGTAGCCCAGGCCTTGGCTATGCAAGCAAATCTGGGGGGGAGGAGCTCACTGACCAGCAGCAAGCAGCTTGGGAACCACTCACTTCTGTTACCATTGACTCACATGGGGCCTTCTGTTGGCAGGTTTATTGCTGTTTCAGTCCCGCTGAACTACAACCGGCGACAAATCGACTTGCGGCAGTTGATCCTCATCTCCACCACCTGGATATTCGCCTTTGCTGTGGCATCCCCAGTCATATTTGGCCTCAACAACGTTCCAAACCGGGACCCCAGCTTGTGCCAGCTGGAGGATGACAACTACATCGTGTACTCCTCCATCTGCTCCTTCTTCATCCCTTGCCCCGTCATGCTGGTGCTCTACTGCGCCATGTTCCAGGGACTCAAGCGCTGGGAAGAAGCCAGGAAGGCCAAGCTACGGGGCGGCATCTACGGGGGCAACAGAAAGCTCTATCAGCCCTCACCCTTTATCGAGAGGGAGCAGGCTGGACTGGAGCCAGACGAGTGCAACCCTTACTCTCACTCTGAGCACCCCCTGCCTGGGGACTATGTGATGAACAACGGGGTGCAGACTGTCTCCTACCCGCACCTCAAGTACCCACCCCCAGAACACAGTCGGAAGCGGGCCAAGATCAATGGTCGGGAGCGGAAGGCCATGCGGGTGCTGCCTGTCGTCGTCGGTGAGTTACAGTCGGAGATGGCCGGGAATAGGGTGGGTGGGAAACATGCTGCCTTGTCCCACAGCAAGGTTCAGTTTGGCAGGGCTAGCCTGAGCCTGGCGAGGCAAAGACACGCTGGTCCTTTTGTGGACTCCCAAGCAGGAGCTGCACAGCCTGAGCACAGTTGTTCATGCAGGGACAGGAGCTGTCACTCTGGCCTGTGCTTTTTTCATTCCTGCAGTAGGTGAGGGTGGGGTAAAAACCTCCTCCCTCTTCCACTTTCCCAATGCAATGCCTTCACTCTCCACACATGTGGACTCTTGTGTTCGCACTCACCCTCCCCTTGCTGCTGCAGAACAGCCCGGCTGCAGCTGCAGACCTGCCAAACCTACCTGAGGTTGTGAGAGGTAACAAGTACCCAGAGAACAGCTCCGTCTCCCTTTGATCCAGAGTAGCGTCAACAAACATCACCCTTGGGAAAGAACATATGCACACTGTTGATAACTCAACCTTTTCTTCAATGTAAGCGTGAATCCTGATGTCTTAAGTGCTAATTCAAAACGATACATAGCTTAGCTTTGCTTCACCAACATTTACGGTGAGAAGGATGTCCAAAAGTTTTTGTCTTGGAGGAAGCCCAGCTCTGCACATCTGCTGCTTTTCTTTTTTTCCGCCCCCCCCTCAAAGCACTCTGAACTGTCACCATTCTTGTTTGGCTCAGGCTGCACTTGTTACCTTAAACCCTTTTTAAGACGCCACTTTCTCTCTTTAATGTCCTCCTGGCAGGTGCTTTCCTCTTCTGCTGGACGCCTTTTTTTGTGGTCCACATTACACGGGCTCTCTGCAAGTCCTGCACCATTCCCACGCAAGTCACCAGCACTGTCACTTGGCTGGGTTACGTCAACAGTGCCGTCAACCCCATCATTTACACTGTTTTCAACGCTGAGTTCAGGAACTTCTTCCGCAAAGTCTTGCACCTGTTCTGCTGAGCCCACTGGAGCTGGGAGAAGGAGCGACCAGGACTTTTTGTATAGTTCATTAAAGATCTATTTCTGCCTAAGGTTTGCTGTCTTTGTTGGGGAGGAGGGAAGGAGGAGAGATGGCAGCTATGGGATGCTGATTCCCAGCCCTGTGTGTCCCCTGCAAGGAGTTACAGGTAAGTACCAGTGGATACAGCTGGGATACTCTCTCCACTGGCAACTGCAGGTGGAGCCACATTTTTAACACTTGGTGTGTGACATAAGCAGCAAGAGACACCACAAGACAGCATGGCTGGTTCTCAGAAAAGCTCTTGCTTTGGATTTATCTGCCTGGGCTCCTCTTAGCTATCACTAAACAAAATCACACCACCCACCACCCCCAGACGTGCTCCAGGCACACAGGAGAACTTTGGAGCTTGCAGCTGCTCTGGCCTCAAGACTCGAAGACATTCACTACCTCACCCCTGCATGGGGGACGTCCCACCAGCTGCCATCCAAGGGGTTCCAGTGAGGGCACCAGCCCACCCTTACTGCAGCCTGTCTCCACGGAGGCCGTGTGATTTAAACTGTGAGGACATGCCAGGCTCATGTCTGCAGACATGACTGCTGCAGCAGCGCTGAACTGGGCTGTGAGGTAACATGGGCAGGAGCCTGTGGGGAGGAAAAACAAAGTTAAGCTGTTTTCCTAGATGGTCACCTGCCAGATGAGGGTGTATATACCTGTGTAACCTCCTTTCCCCATACCCCTAATAATTTTAAATACAAAGACTGGTTTGACTCATGTTGGACAAGAGGAGATTAAGGTCCTACAAAAACTGGCCTCTGCCCAATAGTGCTAACACCCACAGGGCAGAAAGGCTGGCCCTGGCTAAAAAATGCCAAAATTTGGTCAGGACCTGGAGAAATCAACTGGTCAATGTATCACCTAGGTAAACGCCGTGAGGTAGCACTTCTTTGTGATCCCACAGCTCAAAGTGCAGCAGGGAGTTGTGCAGACAGCTCCCGTCTCCAGTGGCCTTTCCTACCACACGAGGAAGAGGAGCATCGCATCGCTCATCCCTCCCTGCAGGCAGCAGCGCTGGGCTGCTGAGTCCTGACCACGACTGCCGGCTCCCAGCTGCCAGCTCACAAAACAATGTTCTTGCCTTGCTCGTCATCCTATTTTCCCCACTTGGACATGGTGACTTTGCACTCAGGCTGCTGGAGCAGAGCATGCAAAAGTCTGAATGGGGAGAAGAATCTTAAGTTTCTTGGAAGAGTGCGTGCGGCTGCCTGGTATTAATTTTAGATTTACACATCCAAAGGCACAATGATGCTATTGCTGTTACTCACCAGGAATTATCCAGAATTTCTCACTGAGCTGAACAATACCTGCCAGGAACCATTTCCAGCCTGCTGAAAAATCTTTTCTCCCTTTTGGTAAACCTGAGCACAGTGACACCACGGGTAGCCAGAGGGAGTAGACAATGCCGCTCTCTGCGGCACAGGAGGAAGAAAATGATTATCGCACAAAACAACAATCTTCTGACTAATGATTTTTGTATAGGGTTCTTGCTTTCTAAGGGGTAATTTGTTTGCTTAGAAATAAAAGGAAGAAAGTACTGCTGGGAGGTCTTGAGATTTTCTTTGAGTAAGGATAAAAATTGCTCAATGAATTTATCATCAACAAGCAAACACATTAAAATCCCACAATGATTCTACTGTAAATTTTCAAGTTCCGTGGTTTACATCACTATGTTGGGGCCAGCTGCCCCAAATGCCAGGGCCCTGATGAGAAGCTCCCCAAGAGCTTTAATTACACGAGTCATACCTACGAATTTTTCATTTAGGAATGTTACCTCACTCACTCTCTTCAGAATTGTTTTTTCCTTAATCAAAAGATGCAGTAGGAACAATTCAGACAATAACCAAAGGATCGGATATACTCATCCATAAGCTATTTAATGACGGTAGTGGAGAACTTTAGGTGTGTTGCTGCTACAAATTGCTCCTCAGTTACCTACACAAACAGGAGACGTGGTAAGCATGTATACGCTACAGCTGTGCTCACTTCTTTAAGTTGCTGTAATTGTCCTTGAAGCAACACAGAGCTCTGCTTCTCAGACCAGCAGTACTCTGTAGGGATGTTCCTCCGTGGAGAATGCAAGGTGAGCCAAAGGAGTGAAGCAACAAAAATAATCATTTCCCAACTGAAAGGTGAGTTTGACATTCAAAAGCGCAGCTTTAACACACCAGAATTGCCACTTTAGAGCCAGCCTCCACTGCATTCTAATGCGAGACGCTGTCATCTCGCCCTAATTTATTTTGGGAGTAAATCGATCCACAGATTCACTAGATTGCGACTTTGCAGCCTTCTCTGAGTAAAGCACCTCTGCTCAAAGATGCCAGCGTGGAGGGGAGTTCAGACTGAAGGAAAGAGCCCACTGCTGGCAATCCTCCCTTCTTGGTGCTGGCCAGCTCAGCGACTGGCTCACGGATGGGGTGAGCATACAGACCCTCACTGACGCACCTCTGTGCTGAGAGCTTTGCACGTACCCAAAGATGCTGCTGAGGCAGGTTGCTGAAAACAAACTGGCACTTTATCCGCACAGCAGGGTGAGGTGTTCAACATACTGCACGGTTTGATTTAGTCAGAACCTTAATGGGCAATAGATAGAGGCAAGAAACGCTGTCAATTAGTTGTATTGCTGTGGGTTCAATTAAGACTCTCTTTTCCATTAACTAAATCTCTTAAAGATTTAGAAAACAAGCAATCATCATGTAACTGTGAGAAGAAACTATAAATACTGAAGTATTACTTTGGGGAAGCAGAAATATGTTACTTGCTATGGGATTCTAAAGAATTGCCTATTCTTTCCTTCCCTGGAGTTTCACATGTCTGTTCTCAGCCTGCTTCAGTTTCTGCATGGCTTTCCACTAGAGAATGATTTCCTTCAGAGGAGGCAGGCATGCTGCTAGCTTCCTTCAGCTAATGCCAGTTCCTTACCCTCACTGGGCTGTGGCCCCTGCTTTTACAGGCACTGCTTCCCTTGCCCATTAAGCTCTGCATTACCAGGAATAACCTTGCCAGGACACAGCCAGAAAGCAACATCAATCGTGTGCCACCAACCTGTGCTGGAGATCTGCCATCCTCCCTCTGCGGACAGGTCTCATCGGCTGCTTCTCAGCAGCTGGTGCTGCAAGCAAAACCCTGCCAACAGGTGTTTCCAAAGAGAAGCCTTGACAGCACAGCAAACTGCTGTATGAGGTGATCCACCACTGCATCTTGTAACACATGGCATGTAATGTGTTGAGACCTTTAAGATTAACTGTGGAAGCAATGGACTTGTTAGAAACTGCCAGCGTAAAACAAGTATTTTTCCACTGCATTTTTCTCTATTACTACTTTGGTGACCCCTCTTATAGTATAAGCTACACAATAATACTAATTTGCAGTGAGTAACTATACAGCACAAGTAGCCCCTCACAGTTGTCATGCCTGAGGCTAAAAAAAAAAGAACCTAAGTAGATGTTTGTGTGATACTGGGCCTCCTCCAGTCTGGTACATTAATCTTCAATCAGGAATGAAGGTGCCTTATTAGCCTAAATTATTAAAGTAGTACGTTAGTGATTAAGAATGTTGTTGTAGTGATTGAAGCCATTAATTTCTTAATGCTCACCACTTCTTTCATTAGAAGCTGCTAAACAGCAATGAGAGGCCAGCGCTCTCTCAATTTATCTACTCTTACTTTGGGTCTGATCAGATCTGATTTTGGCCAGCCAGCCTCTGCAAGCTCCAGCCAAGGCACGCCAACACGATGAAACTGCTCTTCCCCTGCTGACCAAACTACTTCCACACCATCATCCTGCAGAGACAAAGAGTGAACACACGTGTGTGTAACTGCACCGACTCCTGACAGCCACACCTGCTCACGCACTGCATTTACTAGCACATTGAAGTGCTGCCATGGGAATTAAACAGTACCGCTGGGCACACTCATGCTTTCATTGCATTTTATTTAACAACATGTTATTTTTCACTCGTATTCAAGTGCAGAAGCTCCAATGTGTTCCAAATTTGCCCAGCACAGAGGGAACACAGGGGAAAAAAAATGTCCTTCCAAAGGCAAATTAAGAGTTTGTACTTTTTCAAGGCAATTAAATAAACCAAATGAAGGATCATTCCTTTTTTTCAAACAAGAGGTAGGGAGGCACAGGGGAAACAAAATACTGGCAAATCTCATTGCAGCAATTGTTTTAAATCCATCTCAAGAGAGATGAAGAGATTGTTGTAATCCACACAGTGGAGGTTTCAGTCTGGCAAAGTCAAAGCTTCCTCAAGTTGAAGGTGGCTCCCAGCTGATAGGCTGCAGTTTGCTTTTTCCAGATCAGGTTTTCTCAGTTCCCGCATCACTCAAAGTTTTGGAATAGGATCGGGAGTCAGCAAATGCTATCACAGTATTAAAAAGTCTTTCAAAAAGGAGTTTGTTTGTAAAGGCCAGACAATTCACATCAGGTTGCCGATCCAGCCGGCTGCACCACATTGTTCATGGAAGGTTAATGAGGTAGGTTTGTTCAGACGGAGACTTTCTCCATTACGTTGTCCGTGACATGCACCTCGTCGGCTTGCACCGTCACCGTGGTTGACTCACCGCAGATGTGCTGGTGCTCCTTCCAGTCCTGCGAGGGAAGAGCAGACGGAAAGGCCATGAAGAGAAATGGCCCGGGGAAACCGTGCAGCCTGCCAAAGCACACTGGGCCCCAAGAGAAGCTGTGTTTGTTTGAGAGGCGCTTTCTCCCATGCAGATGGGACGCAACAGGTCTCTAGTGCTCAGCCACACAAGACTAACCAGAGGCAGGAAAGGAACCACATGCTGGGTCAAAACTGGAGGGGGAAACAAACTAAGCAGACTGCTGGTTTCTCAAACCAAAAACCAACTCAGGACATCAATGTCCTTTAGGTTGTGGAAATTTTACTTAAACAGAGTCAGAACCCTGATTTAAACACTCTCCTGAAAGATGGCTCGATACAAGATAGCCCTCCTGAAAGGCAGCACCACACAAGGGGTCTTGGTTCAGTAAAGGTAAAAGAGGAAAAGAATTCCTGGTAACACCCTACTACCTCTCAATATTTCTTTCTTTAACTGTAGTCTGAAATAACCAAAGTACTCATCTAACTTGTTCCATTCAGAGGCTGCACATCATAGATCATAAGTACAGGGGGAATTTCAAGGATTCAGTTACTGACAAAAGCCTCAAACCAGCCCACCCTATTCCACTGCAGAACGCTGGCCACCAACATGGGCACACAGAAGCAACAGGCTGCCTAAGAAGGGGACCAAAACATGACTACTCTGTGACACTTCCAGGGACATTTTGTACTGACAGAACCATAGGGTGGAACTGCTGTCCTTGAGACACCTGAGGAGACAGCAGGCAGACTTTGCCATTTATCTGTAAGAAGCATTTGTTTATTCTTTGGAAATTTTAGCCTTTACCACTATGCAGGCAGAGAACTTGACCATCATTATACTTTGTTACAGGCCAAAGGAAACAGTCAAAACTCTTCATCTGCTCAATTCAGTTGATGAAGAGTGAACTCGGACAGAATTCAGAGCCGTAACCTCGGCTGAACTACAAGTATTCCTCCTCTAAAGCAACAAGTGCCGGGGGTCTTTGTGAGGAACCGATGGGAAACACAAAGCACAGCAGCTTCCTCCACTGTACTTCATATCTGTTTCTACCTCCCATGTTAAAATCTTACAGTTTGTCTCAGCGTGCTCAATTCATTTTTTTTTTCATTTGTAGCTTCACAAGCAATGTAAAAAATAAAAACTGTCCCCAGTGGCACAGCAGGACTGTAGGTACTGAGAACACAGCTTGCCAGGAAGCAGCAGGGAAGGGCTGTACGGGTGCTCCCAACTAACTCACCTCCGTAGTTCACACAGGGAGGTGTCCACACCCTCACTTCTGACTTTACACAGAGTTCTGGATCCCCTTTAAGAAGGTGTGTGCAAACCTTGGGGCCATTCCCTACCCGTCTGATCCATGACCCGCAGACCTGCCCCAGCGCTACAGCCTTGCCAGTGATCCAGCTGGCACGGTGTGTTTGGGGCTGCTGAGTGAAACCCAGGCTGCTGACCTGTGCAAGGCTTGTGGGCTGGCTGCCGGCACGACACGACCCCTTCTGCCGCCTGCTCCTCTTTCTGTGCCAGCAGGCAGCACAGTCTGGCTTTCCCCAGGGTCACCGTGGCCCCCTCTGCACAACTCAGTCTGCAACTCACAAACAATCTTATACCTTCCGCTGACAGAAAGTGGAGCAGTAGTTGACTTTATGGCATCCTGTGCACTCGTTCATTGCCTCACGACCACAGTTGACACAGGACTGCTGTGAAAATGAACAGCAAAGTGACCACGTCAGAGAGAACAACAACAGGGAGGTCACTGAAGTGAAATACAGGTGCTGTAACACGACGTAATGCAGGACCGCTACCGAGGGGCTGAGCTGCTCCCAGTGCTCCTGCAGCATCTTAACTGGGAACGTACCTGGCACTGGTGTGGAGACAGGGCAGGCGTTACGGCCCCCTTAGCCCCTGTCTGCCGATGTATCCTCGACACGCAAACACAAACAGGCACGGTGGCCTCTGGACACGCTTTCAGAGACCCACTCTCCTCGCCATTTTATGACGTGTACCTTTTGTTTTCCTTTCTGGAGGGCAAGAAGCCCTTCAAAACCCTGGGTGAGATACTGAGTCATTATGGAAATCTGCCCACAGCAAAGCAGAGGTGCCTCCCTCCACGGGGACAGTTTATCCACTGGCCGCTGCCAAGTCACTACAGGCTTCAGCCGGCCTCACCAACAGCAGGCGTGCTCCACACAGCAGCATACAGGCTTCACACAGGCCATCAATACTTGAGCTCTGAGTTTATCTCAAATTTGAAGTTTTAAAGGCAGACCTGTCTGGTGTTAGCTTTACAGCCCCACGTATTTCTGAGGACAGGGTCTGAGGAAGGACAACAAGAATAGGGATGAGGATGGGACCCTTTTGTTTCATCTGTGCCTGTTTTTGAAAGGAAAAGGGATCTGCTTCTGTGGGCCTGAGAATCTTGCTTCCTTTGTCAGTCAGCAGTATGGCTACACGAGTAATGTCTTAACAGCTAAATAGGAGACAGAGGAGTAAAATTAAAAAGGCTGTAACAGGAGCACGGGACTTAAACCCAGAAGATGAGGCAGGATACATAGATGAAAAATCACACCTGTTTTTGAAAGGCTGTTTTTGTTTCTACCACTTTAATCTTATATCAGTGACATCAATTAACATAACCTGTATATTTAGGTGGAAATATCACTGAATTATAACAAAAATAAGCACTTCACAGAGCATTCAAGTTTCCAACTCATTAAATTACTGACAAATCATTAACACATCAGCGTGGCAGTGTGAGGCCATGAGAGGAAGCATTTCTTGGCTATGAAAGTAGCGTCAGCGTGGTGCTTAACACAGGCAGAATTTAGTTCCACCGACTCCTTTTTTCTCTTGAGCAGAAGCAATCTAACAATCAGCGCCCTGATTAACACCGAGTTCAACACATCTCTGGCTCACACCTTATCAAGGTACCTACAATTAGTAGTTGGCTTGACTGAACTATATTTGTATTCCTGAGATACAGCCATAAAGTCAGGCTACCAAAAAGAGGCTTATTGCTGCTCCAGCTTGTGAAATACGTCCCAACGGGATACTTGATCAAAGCTGTTCATAACTCATGCAGTACTGGGAAAAGCTGAAAATACACAGCGTGTACTTGTACCTGCAGATCTCAGAAAAGACTAGAATGACACACAAAGCTATGAGGTCTTAAATCATGGGTTCTGAAGTACCACGGCTCAGATTTCCATTCCAACAGCCAGAGGGGACCATGCAGCTTTAATAACCAGGACAAAAAGGAAAAAAAAAGTTTCCTATCACACCTGTGTGGTACCTATCAGTTGGAGCTGCACTGTCATTACTTAGAGGTGACTCAGATTGACTAGGTTAGTCGGATGATCATGAAAGGATTGTGACAACATGGAAGGTTTGGGAAATGGTTCACTTTGCTTCAAAAAGGCTTCACTTTACTAGAACAGAGCATCAGTCCCACTAGAGAAAGCTCAGATCTCTGCCAGAAGACCAGGCCAGCCACAGAATACATGATTTCCACAGCAGTAAGAAAAAAAAACCAACACACCTCTGGATCTTTACATGCAACACGACAAAGAACAAAGGACTCTTCATAAAATATGAAGAGCTTACCTTGATGATGATTTCTGTTTTTCCGTCCACATCTTCTGTTTGCTGAAATAACTGGTTCTGATATTGCTGCAAGGAAAAAAAATCACACTTGTTATTTCACAGCCAGAGTATGATATGAAGGGTCAAAATGGGTGGGCTGTATAGAGGATCCTGCCACTGAGCTTGTTTCCATCAAGCCCAAAACTGCAGTTCCATGAGGATCAAGGGGAACCTCATTCCTCCCTTAAAAGAGAGGGCCACTATCCCATTATGTGGAGTCTGATGACAAACCCTGAGAAGCACAGCATTTATTCAAACTGTACTCCATCCAGCCAAGCGCTTGTTCTTAAAACATATGGCTTAACTGTGTCCAAGGAACTGCATCCCACATAAGTTACTGAGAAGTTAGCAAAGGAAAAAGAAAATCCCAAGGTAGTAGGGCCAAGTGCCATCTTCCTGGGCAAAATTTTGGTTCAAGTCTCATGATCCTAATCCACTAACAGGCAAGGGAGAGTCTTGAGAAATGGAAGAGCCCAACAGACATGGGATTGGATTAGGAAAAAAAAATCAGATAAAACCAATACACACAAGACATTAGAAACAGCATCAGCCATAACCATTTGTCTTCCTTTTAATGAAAGGATAAAAGGACTTTCTGACAGTTTTTCAATTAAGTGGTCCTCTGAAGGTGAATTTTAAAGCATACTTCAGATGTGTTGCAGATTTACATCAAAACAGTTAGAGTCCAACAAGCACCTGCTCCCCCCACAGTGTCTTGCCATCTCAACAGCCAGTGCTGCTCAGAGACAAGAGTACTCAAACAAAGGAATTCAAAACCAGCTTTGATTTGATTACCTGCTAACCCTGATTTCAACTTCATTGGGTACAGTTAAAAAGAAACACCCAAGCCCCTACCTCCCAGCAAAGCAGGTTTATCCAGGACCGAGTATGACCCAACATGTAAGGAGATTAAAGGCTTAATTTAAGAGTGTCTCTATGACCTGACATCTCAGTATTTATTCTCCTGTGAAATCACAACCTTCAAATCTTTATGTTAGCATGACACAAGTTCAAATTAAAAAACTCTTTAGGGAGATGGAAGAATCAGGGAAACCTCTTGCTGTTTACTGCAGAGGTATGATTTGGTTCTGCTGTTGTTAGACAAATATGCAAGCTTAAGGTAATGAGCAAGACAGTACACATGCACTTCCCTAGCACTTCATGTACTGCATGGATGAAGTGTATATCACATGTATGGAGATTTTAAAATTGCTGTTTTGGCACTACTATTTGAAAAACAAAATTGTGTCTGAGTCAGAAACATTCTCCTGAAGTCAAGAAACACCCCAGCAAGATTGAGATGTGGCTCCTGGTGTAAGAATCAACCCTACCATGTCGCAGGAAGAAAATGACCTAAATTCTTGAGAGAATCATCAATGTCAGTGAGCACCAGCTGTGGAGAAGTTGGGACTGAATGCTTCGTGCTGCAGCCTCTGCTCTCTGCCACCCAGTTCCCTGCACACAGAGACCTGGCAGAGAACTGGGCTGGCAGGAAGCTGCAGATTCTTCAGGAGAGGATAAAATGTGTTTTCAGTTATGAAGTGAAAGACAAATGACCCACGTTGAGCATACTGGCCTAGGAAAACTGCACCATGTTTTTAAAATTCTTTTCAGTGAGGAGAGTGGAAATACTGATGCCAAAGCATGCAGTGAGGTAGCATTTCGGTGCAGCTTCAAAATCTCTGCACAAATAAACCCTGCTACTACAGCTCCCTCTGCAACAGCCTGCACAGAGACAGCGCTTGGGATGAAGATGCTAAATTGCAGTTCTGAGAATGTGCCGCAGCTCTGGAGTTGATTTAAAACCCTTTCTGCTATCAGAGTCCACTACATCCTCTATGAATGTGGCCAATTCTGTTTTCCAGTGAGACTGCCAACGAGAAAGACATCAAGAGGAAGTCCAGTGCTCCGCTGTCCTTGTCGGACCCATGGTAGCTCCTTCAGCTCTGCTCTCAGTCCCCAAAACCTGCTGATGGAAACCACACATTTAACCCCCTTCTGCCTCCTTCTTATCTAACCCCGTAGCGAGCCCTCTGGTTCTGCCCAGCTATGGTATGAAGAAGTCACATCATTCAGAAGCTGCAGAGAAGGAAAAGGTGCAGTAAGAGAGAGATCAAGCCAGACACATCCGGATCTCTCACAAAATTGTCTCCAGGAAACCGATAAGCTCCAACTCCCAAACATTTCCACTGCTGCTTTGGAGGACATACATGTGAGCCATTACTTGCTCACTAGAACTACTTTTCTTAAATGCCTAACCCTTTTTAGGTTAATTTCATACTCTCTAGCTCTGAATTGTTTTAATCTTTCTAAAAATGAATTCAGATGCTCCAGCTGTTAACAGATTTAATCTTCCACCTTGTTTTCAAATGAACAGGGTTCCGCAAGCATCACTGCACTGCAGCAAAAGGCCTATTTCAATTAAAACACTTGTCAGATTTCAGCACTGATTTTTTAAACTTTATGCAGAAAAACAGCTTAACACATTTCCTAAACATCTTTACCTTCCAACGTGTCTTATGGTACAGAAGTTTATCTGATATAAATGATGGCTTAATGCACACTCAAAAAAATTACATTTCCAAAGCACACAGACCTTTGTATAAAGTAGTCTTTAATCCATTCCTTTTGGGCCAATCCTGCAAGTGGTCAAATATCTTTTGCAAGAGACACAGCGCCCTTGTTGCAGTAAAGCCAAAATTCCAACAGAAACCAAAAGATCTGATATATTTATCTACAAGCTATTTAATTACAATAGTGGAGGATTGTCTCTGAACAGCTGTGCGAAGTTCTGACAGAGCAGTTTTATTTAATGAACCCCATGCAAAACGTTGCCATTCAAAATAGCTTACAAGTATATGGATACTCATTTTTTTGCAATAAGCATGACACATTTTGTAAGTTAATATGGTTTGTGGTTTGCTTTCCTTTCAGAACACCATTCCCTGAGACTCCTAGGTAACATAAATGCAAGTTGTATTTGGTGTCTCTGCCAACACAAGGCCACACACAGGCTGAGCACCAGCTGCATACGCACATATTGTTTACAGATAGAAAGCACAAGCTTATGGCCATCCAAATTTTTTAAACAGAGTCAGCTTTGTGTCTGGGAGTAACCCTGTGAGGGCTCTGCTTATTAGTTAAGGAGTTCTCATCATCAAGAGTCACAGACTGCATATACAAGACAAAAGGTTTTCAGCCTCTTCTTTAGACTCCAGGAACAATTCTGTTTTAAAAGTAATTATGGCAAAAGAAATATTCGCACAAACACTGGAGCTGTAGATTTTGGGCTTACAAATTCTCGTTATTTCAAGGACTTGAATGGTTGGCACATTTTTACAAGGCCTTTTATCCAGAGAGCCTTTGCAAACTGGTGTGCAAGCCCTCTGTAGAACAAGTGTTATCCTTGTTTAAAAGAGAAGGCTCTAAGGCCCAGAGAGCCCAAGGACCTGCCCAAGAGCATCTAAATAACTTGTGGCAAAGATGGAAACAGAATTTGGAAGCGATCTTCAGTCTTGTAATTTGTGCAGCAAAACGTGACCCTTAAATAAATGTACAGAAACTAAAAAGGACAAAGATAGCAACAGAGTGCATGTGAGGACTTCCAAGTTCCAAATTTTGTGCAAGCAAAACTATGCTGGCGAAGCCTTGAGCTCCAGCACTTGGGATTTGTGACCTATAATTCCCTCAGAACGACTAAGGACATCACAAGACCCTGGCACAAAATAAATAAATAAGTAACTAAAAAGTGAAATTGTTCTAGTAGAGAGCCAAAGTGGAAAATCTCATGTCAGATATAAGAGAAGAATGGAAGGTAAGTCTTGTTTTTTGTTTTTTGTTTTTTTTTTAATATTTTTTCTAATCATATGTAGTGACAGGCATTTCTATTCCACTGCTGTACAGCCTGACTCAGCACTTCCCAGTCCAGCCCCCCTGTTGCTTTTGAGGACTCTGTACCTGGGTATTACCATTTGGAAATGCAATTAAGGATTCAGTCCTTCCACAAAATTCAGATTAGACATGCCATCTTAAGAAAGAAACGTGACTGGAGATGCTTCTAATTTATGCCGCGCTTATCATTTTAATGGTTTTTATTTGCTACTTTTAGCAAATCCGCTTCCTGCCACAATTCCTCTCTGATGTTGGCATTTCCACCCTCAAAATGATATGGACAAGGGGAATAATGTGTTCCTAAGACTCCACTGAGCAGTCCTGGATCATACAGTTAGCAAGTGCAACCAGAATGATACAGTGATGTCTGCTCTTTGACTTCACAGATAACAATGCAAGTGTAATGGCAGCACAAATGTCTCCCCTGCTCCATGAAAACTTGCAGAAAAAGCCTACCTTTCACATGTCAGAGCTGTGCAAATTGCACAAGCACTGAGCACTGGTCATTAGAGAGTACAGCTTCTGATATTTAAAGCCAAATCAACCAAACTGCTGCTGTACAGGAGCAGACTGGCTCGTTTCTGGTATTTAATGAACTCCAAAGGCCATTAAATACTAAGTATAATAAGTAAACACAATAGAATAACTGCTATGCAATATACAACAAAGTATATTATAAGTGATTAAAACTTTCAGTGCTTCTTATTGTTCTCTAGGGAGAGAAACTGGCACACAAGCAAGCTTTCAGATATGTTTGCTGTTCTTACTACTTCTCTACTCTGCTTAAACAGTGGGCTGCTTCAGACTTTCTCTGAAGGGCAGTAAAGACAGTGCTGTCCCAAGCTCCCTGTCTTGCTCTTCTGCCAGAAGGCAGAGGCTATCTCCCTCTTTAGCAGGGATGACAGGAGAATTCGGTCAGGGGTGTGGACAGCTACAAGATTGAAAGTGCTTGAGCTCAACATTTGGAAGAGCCAGGAGGCTGAAGGCTCTGCTCTGCTGTGAAAACTCAAGACGTTGTTATTTACAGGCAGGGCATTGAAGCTTGTGTAGCCAGCTGGGAAGGAGCCTGCTCCTGCTAACAGATTTCTTTAATCCTGCTATGTATTCAGTCACTTTTCCAGGAAGAGCTAAGTCTATAGCTTTATTGTAATTTAATCTGTTGTACTGCCTTTGCTCTGCAGGTCTGATATAATCAGAGTCTTTCATTTCTAAATACGTAGGAACATACTGCCACACAGAAACTCTGCACACTGGCAGCACTCCGGCAGGGAACGAGCCACACCACTGCATTCGCTGCCTCTGCTAATGCAAATAGAGGATGTAGCAAGAAGGCTTTCCTGTCTCCTAGCCCTTGGAAGTTTTGTCAGCATAACGAGCACAAAATACTGATAGAGTTCCTCTCTCTTTTGGTCCAGCAAAAATCAGCAACACACAAAGGAGGATGACACCTCTTTCCCTCTGGTATATCTTAATTGCCAAAAGAAACAGACTGACCAGAGACAAAAAGGGAAAGAGACTTGTGTTACAACCAGGGAAACATTCAGGAAATTGGAGAAACACCTCTGACCAACACAAAAGCAGACAGCTTGTTATTTAGTACTTATCGTAGCTACTTCCGATGCCAGCCCTGTACCTAGAAACACAGAATTTTTCCAAAAGTGGAATTCACTAGAAGGAGCTCAGAATATTGTCCAGATTGTTCCAGGTGCTGGCACACAGCAGCAAGCTTGGGAATTATTATTTATTTTAAAAAATACCACCATGATCAAGTGTTTCTATCAAAATACAAAACTCTTGGGGAACCCCTTACAAAACAAGAATGAAAAGACTCAAATACTCACAAATTGAATAATGAGGGATTCAGTAATTATGGGGAAAAGAAATTCCTCTGGAAACAAACACACCATCATCCTTGCCTTGTAAAGTCAGCACTTGGAGATCAATAGACAGGAATGAATTTAACTCCCATTCCTGGGGCAAGAAGAAACTAGGTCTACACTAAAGTGAGCTGGATTTGGATCAGTGGGTGGGAGGAATGGACTCTGAAACAGTGGTTCCAGAAACCACTCTAAGGATAAACAGAAGGGAAGACAGAATGTAAACTGGAAAAAGAGCAGGGGAGGAGTTAAACAAAGTAAGATGTTCATCTGTAAACTGTCAAAGCTTCCAATTTTTTGCTATCCCATGCTCTACACAGTTTTTAGCAGCAGAAAGCCCCAAACTGGACAGCAGCATGAATACCCATTCTGCCAAGGCAGAAGGCAGGGGAGAATTAGACTCTCAATGTATCACACACCTGCACATCAAGGATGCAGCGTACAGAGGAGTTTAGCAGAGACAACGTGGCAAAGAACATCAAAGATGCTGCAAGGACTGTCATAGGGGTTCTCAGCAAAATCTTCCCACACACATTTCTTCAAGGCCTCTTGCTGCACACTCATGCCTATGAATTCAGTGGAAAGCTGACGTTAGCAATAACGCCGATAGCAAGAGCAAACAGCGTGGTGCTACCGGTTCAGACACTGACAACGACACGAGTTTCACGGTACATTGCCCCCCACCTCTCTCCCTCAAGTCCACACCAGCAGCTGTGGATCTGTGGGAGAAGGGGAATGCATTCAGCAGTGCATGGAGCCGGATTCAGGGTGCATGCATGTGCTGGCGTTCAGAAGAATCCAGGGTCCCTACCATGCATTAATTAAAGAGAAGAAAAGCAGGGAAAACAGGGCAGTCCTTGTAGATAATCCCCTACAGAGGAGAAAGGGACCACTGGGTATAAGCCAATACTCTTGTAATGCCAGCTGGCCTTGCGGTCTTATCACAGGACACAACAGAGTTCAGCTTTGCTTGCACAGTGCTCAGCAAGACACCTCTAAATTTTGCTGGTTATCTTCCCCATAAACTCCACAGCTTGCTATTTTTATTATCTCTCTGTCTCTTCAGGCCATCAAAAGCCCCTTTGATAGCCTCACTCACTTGACAGAAGGAAAGCAGTCACCACACGGCTGAACGCTCATGATCTTCCCGATATCAGGACTCATGGTAATTCAGTATCAGTGCCTCGTAAATTTATGGAAGCCTGATGGGAGAGCTCAGGACTTGTAACAAAAAACACTTTATATTACTGCTACCCAGAGCTGTTGGAATCCCAAAGCACTCTATTCCTTTCTCCATCATATAAATAACTTAGTTTTATCTACTGCTCTCAAGACATTTAGAAACATTTTCTAAGGGCTGCCACAGTTATAGCCAGTGAAAACAGCGGGGTACTGCTCTGTTCACTGCTCAGCCAAAAAGATGTCCTTGGCTGAGTCATCTCACCTCCCCTGGAATAATTACCTCTTTCCTCTCCACATCAGCTTGGATTTTCGCTTGCGTGACAGCAGCCTCGCGGAAGGAGGAGCTGGCCTGCTTGGCCTGTTCGATGAGAGACTTCAGCTGCTGGGCGGTGTTGAGCAGGGAGTTGACCATCTCCTCCAAGTACAGCCAGCTTCGTTGCTCGGTCACTTCCAGCCCATTCACCACTGATGGCGAGATGGCTTTGGTGGGGGTTGAGGGGGGCACTGAGAGAGCAGGGATTGGGGTCAATACTGAACACAGAGAAAGAAAAATAAAATCGAGAGAGTTAGGGCACTGCATTTCCATGAAATGTTGGGTGTTGTTTTTTTTTGAATTGTTAACAGGGTCTACCAAAATTTCCAATCCAACTAAGTTTCAGCTAAACAGACTTACCTTCTGTGACTCGAAGCACACAGAATCAGAGCTGTGCAGAGTTAGCCCTTGGGCAGTATCAAACCCAGAGTACAGAAGAGCAGGTACTCTGACTATGAATTAACACCTTCTAGCACTGCTGCAGAGAAGACCAATTAAGCAGTGAAAGCAGCGTTCCCAGGGACTCCTCTGCCATTATCACCACCATGTTCCACTACGTTGCCCTTAACCATCACTACATAAGGTTAGAATTAATAGTTAAGTGACACAAAACAACAAGGCTCCAAAAGACTTTTCTGAAATATTCTTATGTTGCTGTACAGATGTCAGTCCTCAGGTTGCAAAGTGACAAAAACCAGGCACCGATCCACACCACAGTCCCCTAACGCCTCCTGAACTCTGATCTTAACATAAACCTGTCTCAAGACTGCAATAAAAACTGTTACCAGACAGTTACCATCACTTCAAAATTATGTGTATGACATAAACATGCACTTTCTAAAACCACCATTTAGGAGGCCCTTTAAAATACCCTCAGCCATTGCAATGTCTTTGGACCCCTTTGTCGTGGCTCTTACCCATGAAACAAACTATTGGCCTAAAATTAATCATACCACACTGAAACACCTAGAATTTTAATAAAGGGCATTCACAGCCACCTATATTGGCTTCAAATATCCTATCTTCCAAATAGCAACGCTCATTGCAGCTCCCAAACCTATTGTTGCCAAATGCCAAAGGTGAGAAAATTAAAAGTCCTAGAAAACCAACATCTGTCTTTGCCTTACGTTTGCAAATGTTTTTTAAAAAAATCTGCAGTTACTGCATCCCAAAAACATTTATTTTTCACACTAGGTTTGCACATACATTGGGAGGCCACAGGGTGAGGAAATTAAATTTAGATCTTGGAACCCAACAACACGCAGTGTAAGCTCGCTTTCCAGGAAAAAATGTTATCTGGCTTTACTGGTCTTACTTTTTCAAAATTGAACTATAAACACTCACAAATCTGCCACAAAATTAAGTCTAAGACATTCACATCTACCAACAGCCAGCCTGTAGATTCCTCACTAAATGGATTAGTAGAAAAAAGAGAGGCACCACTAACTGGGGCTGGGCATTCTTATTAACCACAAATCTACTGCTTGTCTATTTCAGGAATTTTCTTGATACATTTAGGTAGGAACTGCAGAAGGATCCAGCACACGCGAAAACCAGTATGTAGAAAGTCTGAGAAACCACATACCTTCCTGGACAGTTCTGCTTTAGCAAGGGAAGAGCTTTTAGTATTCCAGACACCAAAAGTCAATTAGCTTCCTTGATTTTTAAATAAAGAGTGACACATTCGTGTGATATATGCTGGGCCGTTCAGCCGATGGATGGTATAGCCCTCAGGGAAATGTTGAACACAGCAGGGAACATAATAGCAGAAGCAGTGAGCTATTTAACATTTCACATTCACATCCTTCAAGCGTCTGCCGTCCTTCGGAATTGTTACTCTTACACCTCTAGCGCCTCTGCCCGGCAGACGTCTCCAGGCTCCTGCACTGCTGATGCTACCAAAGATAAAGGATGCACTGACAGCGTCCTTGGTGCCGTATCTGTAAGCGTCTGCTAAGCAGTGCCCTGGAGACAGCTGCAGGCAGGAGAGCTGCTACTGATAGGTGCCGACAATTGGTTTCATTAAAATGGAAAATTATTGGAGCCTGGTTCTCTCCCTTGAAACCAGACTTAAATTTAGTAAGCAGGAAGCTCTTGAAAAAATGTAGATGCTGAAGTAACTGAAAGGCAATTTATTCTCATCTACTTTATCATCAATCTATTATCACAGTCCACTTTGGATGTCATTACAGATGGTCACAAAAATGGCTTTCCAGTCAGGTCAGTGTGTCTAAGGCAGCTCAAAAAACAAAGGCAGAAACAAGCCTCAAACCTCTCTTGCTGAGGGATGGGGACACAGAACAGCAGGCTGCACAACCAATTTAAAACCCCAGAACAACAGAGCCCCCATTCAAGAAAAAAATCTTTGTCACTGCACTTAAAACAATACTTAAAATTCTAATGTGAATACTGTCCTGAAAAAAAATCAGTGTAAGTACTGTCCTGAACAGCAACGGGGCAACCGGGCTGCAATTCCACTCACAGTGAACCTCTGCTTAGTAAGGAGACACACAAGACTTCTTGCAAGGCTGAATGAACAGGGAATATGTTCCAGGAGAGCGACTAATTTCAATATACTAATACTTTAATCCTTTTCAAGTCATACCTAGCAGTTTTTCACACAAGCAGCAAAAGCTGAAAGAATCCAGCATGGATATGGGGAGAGAGAGAACAAGTCTCCAAAACCATCGTACTGCAGGTCACTGTGTTAGATGTACAACCTTTTTGGACATCATTGAAAGTTTATCATACAGATAAACTGATGTTTTACACACAACAGCCCTTAATTAAAATAGCAATTTTACTCCATTCACGCATGACTGGTATAGAACTATTTGCACTCGGGTATGAGTAAAAGATAAATCAGTCTTTTATCAGCAACTGTTTGCAGAACAATATTTATCACAGCATGGCATTTGATAACTTATCTAACAGGAATTACTTCCGATTCTTCATTTTAGAGTAGTTATCTGACAAGAAATAGTGATGATCTTTGCTTCACTGGTGCAAAGAAAATCAATGTTTAATTAATAACATCAAGATCTGACTCAGACTCAAAACCAACAATATTTCATTCTGGACAGGGCAGGAATGCACTGTGCTGCTCTGAATAAGTAAATAAAAGGTCAACTTGAAAGGAGAACACGTGCTTTAAAAGAGAAAGACTTCACAATTGAACGCACAAATGAATGCTACATTTATGTGACATCTTTTTGCTACCTGACAACTTCAGTGGGAATCCAAACCTGCCTGTGTTGCAGTTCCCTCACATCAGTGATATCAGTGAGCAAGTAGCAAAGTAACTTTACAGAACCAAAGAAATTAGAGAAGGAGAAACTGACCTGGGATGTGAGAGCAGCACACCAAACCTGCTCAAAACTGCATCTAAGCATTTGTGGATTCATAAAGAGGTGTCACAATTTTTAGAAAAGCTTCTATGATATAATTTTAAATCTCAGCAAGGAGAGATGGTTTCCTTGGATCAAAGATTAAATAAATAAATATCTATCTACAGCACCCAGGTGGTGACAAGAGCTTTGAAGCAAAAGCCTTATGAAAGGCAGGGGGCTGCAAAGAGGATTTTGGAAGCAAGATCACACGAAACCACTCCGTTAAAAACCAACAAATCAAAGTTCTCAATACCAGTGTGAAAAACTTTCCTGAAGTATGGAAAAAAAAATCTGTTTATCCAAACTTTAATAACTGCAAAAATCATAAGAAAAAAAAAAAAAACCGAAAAAAAAAAGCACTATTTTTCTGCTTCAACCTTTACCTCTGGTGGGAAAGAAGATCACAGCATAAATTCAAGCACTGTTAACTGTGTCTTACAGATGTAAAACATACCAATTTTGGGATGAGATGTTGGCAGTGCAGCTTCAGGGAAAGGTGAAATCTGACAGTTGTCCTGGTAACTTGGATAGTGAGGTTCTGGGTGATTGACCCGGCAAGGCTGTTGAACATTGGTATCTTGAACTGCAGAAGAACAACATCATCATAAATCATTGTATAACAGAGCTTTCACACATTTCTTGTGCCTCTTTTACCTCTGTTTTTTAAAAAAATTCCCCTGCTCTATGATAATTGTAAGGGTTTCAAACGAGTAACAACAGAGCGATGTTACATAGCTACCACGCAGGGCAGCCTTGCACTGATTTCATCTCTCTCTGTGCTCACTTTTAAAGGCTTCTGTAAAAATTACTGCCAGTTTCCTTCTCATATACCTCGATATTTGCATTGACCAAAGGACTCCAAACTATTGTTCTCAGTGGAGGTTAGTTCCCTTAGCTGCTCCAGCAGTACTCACAACCCCATGTAGGAATTAAACTGAAAGAACTGAAATTTATGTTACACGTTTATATTTTCTTGGTTTTATTCTGGCATTTTTCAGCATTTATTCAGCACTTTTCACTTAATTTAAATGCTCGGCTATTTTTGGCAGTATTTTAGGACGAACAAGGAGCAAAGAAAAAATGACAGAGATGTCCATTAAACGAAAGAAACCAGCAGAGGTGTACACTAGCAGCTGCAGCATCTGGACAAAACATTTAAACATCTTTTGTGAAACTGATCAAAGATTCTAAGTGGTTAAAATCATTTAAAAGAAAGAACAGAAGGTCGCGTATAGCCTCTGTGTATGTTCTTAAAAAATAAATCCTTCATGCAGCACACAAAATGCTTCTTGCTATAGGAATGGGATGTCCAAACCCTTTTTTCCTGCTTCTTATGGATGGCAAGCAGACATACACCTGAACCCTTACCAGTGGCTCCTGTGAAAACATCACCCTGGGATGGACTTTCTGAGATAATTGCTGTGGCTTCCACTGTCGATGTGCGGTCAAAGGTCAGAGCACCGGAGGTAGTGATCTGTCCAGAAGGAGTCACGGTGACTGGAAATGGTAGAAGTACTTTCATAATTAACAATCAGTGCTCAAGCCTTGGTTGTCTAGCTGTTGAGATCCCTGTTCTGAATCATCCAAAGTCACAGAACTCACAGACCAGTCAACAGCCTGTGATAGCCGAGTTTGGATCACACCTATAACCGTTAAAACTAGAAATGCGAAGAAAAGCCCTGCTCAACTTGCGAAGATATTGCTGGCCTCCTGTAAGCCTCTGCTTATTCTCTAGGTGTATGAGGGCAGAATGTGCACTTACAAAGTAATTCCTCCCAAATCACCACCTTTAAAATTATTGCATGAATAATAACTTGACAACTACTTAAAAAATCCAGTAGTGCCACAAAACTCATTAGTTTCTGACTGGTCCTAATTTATTATAGAACTTCAGCCAGCATGGTTCTTACTACTTAAAAATAGATTTATAACAGCAATTGTGGATTGCGACTAATTCTGTGACAGTTTGTTGAACACGTTTAATTGTCTTTCTGCACGGAGTGATACAACGAGCTTGGCCAATGCAAGGAACATGTCACAAAACACATTCAGACGAACATACCAGTGCAGCTCTAAAATGTTTAAAACCCTTTTTAAACAGGATTAATCCAGCAACACTAATTGGTAATGGCCTGATTCTGTGAAACACTGCTCAGTCTGAAGGATCTTTTTACAAACAATTCAGTTATAAGACATTGAGGCTACAGTTTCATTCCTGGTGAAAGATGTGGCTGCTACCAAAATAAGCAGTCCTGCTCTCTCCCAGCACTAGCATGAGCAAATATGCAACCTCCCAGCAGCTGACATTAATGAACCAATATAGATTAAAGCTGTTTTGAGGGATAAAAAAAAAAAGCTCTACAGAACCTTTATGTATTTCTCTTCCTGCTGTTGCCAGTAATCTAATCTTGCTTTTGGCCTGCTCAGTTCTTTTTAATATTTCTGTAGCTTCCTCCTCAATTCACTTTGTAATGTTACCGTCCAGATGATGCTAGTGTGATGAGAGCAGGAGGACACATGAATGTGACAGGGAACGCGTGAGCTGGACTAGCTTGCAAATTAATTTCTGTTCTCATACAGATGATTTGACAACCAAAAACATTAAGTAACAAAGCGTGTCCTGATTGTTTGAGAGGAATTTGCAGATGAAAGTGTCACCTTCTGCCTCTTTCATTAGCGACTTTCAGGCTGTGGATTTCATTACAGTTGCTTAGAGCCTACTTTTCCTATGCATTTCAAGAAGTAGCACAAATCTTATTACATAGCCCTCAGCGGCTACTAAAGGACAAAACCCAAGCTCAGGAGACAAAATGGGGATTTCCTGCAGAGCAGAAAAGAGGCAGCCTTCCCCTCAACCTGATCTCAACATCAAGAAATTTCTCATATGTCATTTGTGAAAAGCCTACCTAAAGCCCACTGTGGATCAAGTCCAGGACTCCACAACCACCCCAGCACTGCCAGGGCGAGAGCAGGTAGAGGGGGGAAAACATCATCCAGGCCTCTCTCAGAACAAAATATGAAACCTACAGCTCACTGGAAAAGGATATTAACATGCTTAAAACTCAGACACTGCTTTAATTTCTAGAAAATATGAAAGGATACTGGCTAAAGAGAAAGAGCCAATAAAACTACCCAATGATAAGGAAGTAATGCCAATAAGATGATTTTTCTCAGCTGGATAATTTCACGGGGCTACTGATAAGACATAAAATATCTAGTCTGTCAATTCTTCAAAGAAGGAAAGCAATTTTTACCACGAGAAAAAACCTACATGTAGTAGCAGCTGTGGCAGGAAGCAGAGTGATATTTTTGGAGGATTCCTTCTTCACAGTATTTGCAGACATTTCACTATCTTTTTTTCGCCGTTTGTACGGTACAAATAGTCGTACAGGGCCACTCTAGGAGAAAAAAAAAAAAAAAGAGGAAAAGACATTAGCTAAGGCATCTCTTTGGGGACTACAGGTTTACTCCAATCTCTCCAGATGCAGCAAAGATCATGCAGTACAAATTCCCATGGTTTGCAACAAATGACCAAAAAACTTCTATGGCAGTAGCTCCAAAGTAAAAAAAAAAACTTCTGTGAATAAAAAAATTGCATTCAGCTCCACGCAGCTGAAGAGGCAGAGATTCAGCCTCTTCCCACCATTACATAAGGAGCAAAACTGGGCAAACAACTGACAACTATCCACAGTGGTGGAAGAAAAGGGAACAAGAGTGAGGAGAAGACACAAAGCAGGTCTAGATAATGAGCAAATGATTCAATTAACACCAGAAAAGTAAAAAGCAGTACTTCAGGTGAAGCTAAATGATTCTGCTTTCATGACTTTAGCGTATGTTTTTTAAAAAAGAAAGCAATTTAATAGGAAAATACAGATCTAACAGGATATGGATAAAAAATAAATAAATAAATAAAATAGTAAATAATAATATATGAATATATAAATAAAATATATAAATAAAATATAAATAAATAAATTGATATATATAATATATATATGAGTAAAGTAATATATATATAAATAAATATATATATTAAAATAATAAATAAATAAAATAATGATAAAATACGGATCTTCCACTACTTCCTCATAAAAACATTTCTTCTAGCTCAAATAATTGTGGAATTTAAGCCAGAAAACACTAATAGCATTGACATCCCCCCAAAGGCATTTTACATAAATATATTATTTAGGAAACAAAAAAAGAAAAAAAGAGAGAAAACCAGCAACAACTATCACCTGGTTAAAGTGAGGGGCAGATATGAACATCAGAGGCTGCAATGCAGCAGCACTAGCAGTTCCCTGTCTTGTTTCTGTATGAAACATGGACAAAGCTTATTGCGACCACAGTACTTGTGAATGTTTCTAGGCCACTCACGACCTGCTCACAGATGGCTGTGGCAGCTTGATTGATGAATTGATTTTAAACTAATGGATATTAAACCTACAACTCACCAGAGTCATGTCATCACAGCAGGCAGCACAAGTACAAGAGGCAGCGTGAGGATTTAAAATCCCATCCTGAAATTGGAAGATTATAAATTCAGTATCAGTCACCAAAACCAGTGAGAGCATGACTGTACTTTGCTTGAAGAGCCAGGCAGCTCCCAGAGAGACATAACCATTCCCCCCTACGTGCCCTAAACAGTAAAAAAAAGACTGTCTCCCCTCAACCAAATCAACACGTTGCTTCTGACTCACCCCACAACACCATCACACACAACTCTGCAGAGGCACCATGCAGAGCTTGGACTGCTGTGCCTGGCAGACTCTGTCCCGAATCTCCCTGCCCCTTCCAGCAGAAAGGAGGAAAGAAATTTAACCTTACATGAATAAGGCACTGCAACGGTCTCCCAGCATAGCGGATGCTCCTCTTCCAGTCTTTGCTGCTGGCTCGTCCTGCCATAGCTTCAAATTCGGTGGGGCTGTACCAGTTGTCCCCTTGCTTAATGCACCTGCCACGGCCTCCTGAATTAAATTAGAAGAAAATAATTGTTAGTAAAGGTCAAGGATTACTCCGCTGTTTTCCTAAAGAAGCAAATACCAAAATTGCTGGACAAAACAGCAGCTAATCTACAGTAACTACCAACTATGCCCATCTGCTGTTTCTCATCACTCTAGGATAACCGTGCCCATTTAATATGCTGGCTGTGACAGTGATCGCACATGTTTAGTGAGTTCCAACTTTGTGCTTCACCAATATTGAAACAGGCTAGAAAAAACCTACTCATCCACAAGAAGGATAAGTCCTTCTTGGATAACCACCATGAATATAAGCCCATCCTTAATTTTCAGTTAAATTTGTAATCCTTTTGGTCATGATGAAAACTGTCTTTCCATGCAGCAAATGCTGTGCAGTGCAGTCAGGCTTGTGGCAATTTCTGCCATCGCTTCTTCAGCTTTCCCACAGAGATAAAAGAGAAGAGAAGGGGCTAAGACAACTTAGGAGTCTTATTAGGATACAAGCTCTCTACTTTCCAATGCAGCAGGGATTCTGCAGAGCTTTGTAGAGACACTGTTTTACTTCGGAAAGGTCCGCAAAAAGAACATTAGAAGAGTCAGGCGACTATCAGGAAGACTCACTGCACAGCAGGCTGCATCTTCACGGATTGAAGAAAAAAGTTAAAAAGCCTCTGAAGAAAGAGCAAGGAAACAAAAGGGCAAAACATGGGAGAATACTCATGGGACTAGGCTGGCTATGAAAATCTCCTTATTTTCTTCATGACTGGTCCTTCAAGGTAATCTGATTAAAAGAAAAGTGCATGAAGTGAAGAAGGAGCCATCGTGTCATACTTCGTCACAAAAGGTCATTTTTACCTGAGCCAAGTCTGTTTTTATACAGAATCCCACTGATATTCCGGCACCTCACTGGGAGCTCGTTGTCATACACGGATGGGTCCCAGTTATACTTGGTTCCAGTTTTCTCTTGGACGGATGTTAAAGGGGTAGGAGGAGATTGCGGTCCTTTGAAAAAAAGAAGAGAAAGGTGACAGCAACCAAAAGGCACAGTGACTATACCTTCACACTGAATTTGGCGAGGCCAACAGTGTCATTTGGTCAGTTCAAGCAGATTACACCTTTCCAAACTGCTGCAAGTAACACAGTGTACAACAAAAAATTAAGGTTGGAAAAGATGCCCGATGTAAACTAGAGCTGTGAGTCTGCCCTGCCAAGCTCAAGAATTCCTCACAGAAGGTAACATTCTGAAAATGGCAGAAAATAAAGCAAACTGCTTGTTAGGAAACAAGCTCTTAACGGTGTGTTAAATGCTCAGCTCATAACCTGCAGCTGTCCGGATCTTACAGTTCCCAAAGGGCAAGACTGTAAAATGTGACTGCCTGCCAAAGGTTTGCCATGCCATCTTGTGGGCAGAAAGGAAACTGACAAGGCAGCTGCGAACAGAAACCTTAACCATGAAGACACCATCTATATTACAATTAAATATCAGCAAAAGGCGTGAATGGACACAAAACTATGTGCAAGAACCCTTTAAAAAGAACCCACGTGCAGAACTATGACACTGATATTTGTATTATCAATATCAGAATGATCGATCTGAATTTGGGGTGGGATGGATGCAATAGCCCAGCAGCAGGGTGAGCTCTTTCCAGAAGCTTACTTGGCAAAGATTAGGGCAATGTATAAGAAAATGAAATACATTTATGAGACCAAAACCAAAGAGTAAATATTCTTCTTCTACTCTCAAGAAACACAAGAAACATTATGTTAAGAGAGGATCAACGGTCCCCTTCATAATATGCCTGATGTTTGTTTTTTTTTTATTATTTCCAGCAACACAATTAAAACGCAACCCCTCTGGGAGAATGACACTTCAAAAACAGATTGCCTTATACCTGGTGTGAGAGGTGCTGATGGTCCCTTCAGCCCCGTGGTTTCCACAATGCTGCCGTCTGTGTGAACGACTATGAGAGTGGCTTTTTCGGTATTCAAGCTGTCCCCAATTTGGAGGGCCGTTCTCCCAGACTATGGAGGAAATAAAAGAGTTTTAAATCATAGAGTTAAAATACCAATGTATTTTAGTATTCCCACAAATCTTCTCAAAGTTACCCTAAGACACTAACAATATGGCAATAACTAGGTTAGTTTTTGAGCTTTAGGCCAAGCAAATTCAAAGCTTACATGTTCTGGGTTGTTCCATTACAGAATGGGTGTATGTGGATAGAAAGGTAAAGAAAAATTCTCCAAGTGATAAGGAAAAAGCTGTATGTATATCAGTGGACGGTTTTGAGCCTTAATGTCTGTACACAGCAATGAAAACACATTTTTGATCTTGTACACAACTGAGCTCTCCATTTACACTAAGAAAGCGTGTGGGACTTCGCTAAGACCCTCAAATCAAAGGTCAGACTCACCAGTACATGTCCTGAAATTGAAGCTGCATTTGCCACAGATGTGGTGAAAACATTGTCTGCGGAGGCACCAACGTTGGCTACTGTTACTGTGGTGACTTCTGAAACATAAACCAGAAATAAATTCTGCTGTGTCCCGGGAGCCCGATTAACAGTTCAACATCAAAAGATATAACTGCATTTCCTTCTTCTTCCATATTGAGCATCTGTTTAATTTTTCATGACAACTTTAAGTCATTATAAATCCAATCACTCTGCTTTTTATTAAGCTTCAGGTTGAACGTAGAATAGTTTGGGTTGGAAGGGAACCATAAGGACCATCTGGTTCCAACACCTCCCACCAGACCAGGTTGCTCACAGCCCCATCCAGCCTGGCCTTGAACACCTCCAGACAACCACTAGGACACCAGCATGCTTTAACCTCCTTGAGAACATAACAGTACCATCAGCATGTGATGCACTAAGTGGAAAAAGAATATTCCCTCTTTACTAAAAAAAAAAAGTGATGTTTTTTTATTAAAAGAGATGACTGGCAAGCATCAAAATAAGGAGAACTGACCATGCCTCCGACATGTTAATTTTTAGGCTGCTGCTTGTTATCTGTATACCTTATCCAGTCAAAAACAGTTAAATGTTAGGCTGTAACTTGGATATGATATATACGATATATACTACATTTGACTGCCTAGCTAAAACCAGGGATTCTTCCATACCTTGCACAGGGTAAAAGTGAAAAACCAACAATGCTGAAGCTCATGTGTACAAGGAGGTAACAATCCAGCACTGTGAGATCTGATACTACCTGCGTTACCAGAGCATGCTTCCAAAATTCAGGATATTTCAGGGCACTTTTAAGGGGGAGATTTGCACATAGGGCCGAAATAATTTTAGACACCAACGGGAGGCTCCCGCTCCCCTCACTTTGTGGGATGAAAACAGTGAAGTCAGTGCTACTTTCTACAAGTCTGGGAGTCAGCACAGCTTTAGCGTGAACCTGGGACATGTTCACCATGTTACTGGGGGCAATAAATGTAATCAACTCTCCTCAGCAACACAACTGCGGACACCACAGCGAGAGAGACGGAGCAGCAGCGCACCCCTCCGCCTCAGCCGCCCGCCCGCCACTCACTGAGGCGCCGCCGGCGGTGCGCGTGTGGGAGGGGGGCGAGTGAGGGGAGCTGCGCATGCGCGCTGCCGCCCGCCCTGACCTGCGAAGGCGGCGGCCTCGTCGGCGCTGGGCAGGGCCCCGGCCGCCATCTCGAGGTGCTGGGCGTCCGCCGCCATCACCGTCACGGCCGTCACCCGCGCCGCCTCTTCCTGCCGCCGCTCCGCCTTCGCCTCCGAGGCCGCGGGCTGCGGCTGCTGCTGTTGCTGTGGCGGCCCCCGCTGTTGTTGTTGTTGATGTTGCTGTTCGGCTCCTTCCCCAGCCGCCGCCGCCACTGCGGCCGCCGCTGCCGCCGCCTCCGCTAAGCCCAGCTGCTTGGCCGCCGAGTCGGCGTCCTCCATGCGGGGCGGCCCGGGAGGGGTTTGGGGGACGGGGGGGGGGGGGAGCGGGACCCAGCCCGCCCGAGCGGCCCCGACCCCCGCCGAGAGGGCCCCGGGGCGGTGGGGGGGGGCCCCCGAGGCCGCTCGGGCGCTCGGCGGCCGAGCGGAGCCGAGAGGAGCCGAGCGGAGCCGAACGCGCCCCCCCCCGGGCGGGCCGAGCGCTTCCGAGGGGGCCCGAAGCGTGCCGAGCGCTGCCGGGCCTCGTCCGATGGCTGCCGAGGCGCGGGGCCCGCGCTGCCTGCCGGCTGGCCAATCCCAGCGCGGGACGCGGCCGAGGCCGCGGCCCGAAGCGATACCTGACAGCTCGGGCCTCCCCGCCCGAGCGCGCCCGAACAGGGCCGAGTCCCCGAGCGGTCCGGCCCGCGGGGTCGAAGAATCCCGAACCCGCTCGAGTCTTTTCCGATCTCGCCCGAAGGCGGCTGGAGGCGGTGGCGAGGAAAGCCGAGCTCTTCCGAACGCTCCTCCGAACGCCTTCGCCGGCCCGAACGGCGGCGCCCGAACGGGCACTGCCCGAAGCCGCCCGAAAGCGACCGAACCGGGCCGAACGCTCCGATCGCAGCCGAAGAGCGAGGGGCGGGGCGGGGCCGCGCGGCGCGGGGGCTGCCGGGACGCTGGAGGACCGCCGGGGGCGGGCGGCCGACATGGCGGCGGCCAGGCGAGGTGAGCGGAGCGGGGCCTCCGCCGCTCGGGGTCGACCCCCGGCCCCTTTCCACACGGGGACAGTGCCCGGTGCCTTTCCTACTCCTCCCGGTGTTGTTAAGGCCGCGGGAGGGGGGCCTGGCGGAGGGAGGGCTCTCCTAGCCCCAGGCCGTGTCGCGACAGTTACGACATGGCGCCGCGGGAGGGGGGGGGGGGGGCAGGGGGCACAACAGCAGCCTGAAGGAGAATTCTGTCTTGCGATCATCGCACCGGGCGGTTTTACCTGCAGCTGGGGCTGCCTGCGTGCCCTTAATACAGTTATGGCACTAAAAACAAACAAAAAACAGACAAACAGAAAACACATTTTTTTTTCTTTTTTAAAGAAAATTGATTGTATTCTGTCTCCAGTAAGGAGGTGACCTGGGGGGAAGTCTCGGGCTGCAACCCCTGCTCGTCCCAGGTACCCAAAGAGTTTAGGTTCATTAAAGCGCTTACAGGAGGGCTGTGTAAGTGCTTTAATGGGAACCTGCACTGGAGACAATTGGTGCTACGCCCGGTTTTCTTTTGGACCCTACAAGTTTTAGGATAGGCAGAAATGAGGTGCCAGCCCGCGTGCAGCAGAAGGCACTGTTCAGGGTCTCACAAATGCAGAATGCCCATGTTGCTGCTGCAAGTCTGTGCGCTTCGTGTAAATGCTTTAAAGGTCCTGTTTTGCTTCTTCTTGGGTGCCAGAACTCTCACGTTCGATTTCAAAATGCCCCGGCAGCAATGCAGGCTTCATTAGTCCTAGCAGCGACATGGGCTCGGGTTGTTGGGGTTAGCAACCCACAGTTTTAATTCGAATATATGATTTTAGTTATGTATTCAATAATTATTACTAAAGCGCCGTATCGCTTTCACGTTGTGAGCTTTCGGTGTTTGACCTGTGTGAAATGTCCTCCACCCCTCACGGGGAGGCAGCATATTCTAAACAACAGTGCCTGCAAACCTGTGCGTGGAACAGATGCAAGAATGTGCTCGGTGCCCTCTGGTGGAAAAAGATCTTACAATGTACAAATAAACGCGGGGAGCTGCCATTAGGGAATTCAAAATGTTTCAGGTCGCCCATACGATAAAACCGCACTGCTGCAATTATCCCCCCTGGCATCCCACAGGGCTGATGAGTGGGTGATGATACGTTGGTACGCCTCGTATTTGGTTATGTTTGCTGCTCCTTAGGCAGAGCTCCATCTCTGGACGCCGCTTGTAGAACGATAACATGCCTGCACACGTAGCTGTGGTGTTTCACCTTAACACCCCGCTTCACAGCTGAGAATAACTGGAAGGTGGAGACATCTCCTTAGTCCTGAGCAAGGCAGGAAATGCACGGTCCTGATACAAGGCATTGCTTTCATGTGAGGGCTTCTCTGGGATGTAAATGTGAGCACACATTTAGCCATTAGTCACGGCAAAACAAGACATGTAATAAAACCTTTAACTACAATCCACAAAAAGAAAGAAAGCATTTATCAAAACGCTTTTTGGCCAAGTGAAGGGACCAGTCTGGTAGGAGCCTATGCTCCCTTCACAGAAAACGGAGCGGAGATGCAGCGTGCCCAAAGGCATTTCAAGTCATAGACAGTATGAATCACCTAAAATTGCTTGCCTATTTCCACTGTGTTCCCAAATTGGATAGCTTAATTGGGTGCCTAAAGTTAGTGGGGATTAATTTGGGCCCAAGTGCATAAAGCTATGAGGTGACGGGGACATTAACCTCACAAAGCCCAGGGATGGAGGTGGTGAGGTGAGCACGTCCTGCTGACACGATGATGATGAGATGCCTTTGCCAAGACAGGTGGCATGGCCTTCCACAGGAGGTTTTGCTCTCCCTGAAGCAGGGATTGTAACTTTTCCTTTCTTCCTGCCTCTGAAACAGGCTGAGAGTGTTGGGAGTTACTGAAGAAGTATTTAAATAGGTTGTTGCCATCATGTTGCAAGAGAATTTTGTTTGGGGTTTTGGATAGAAAAGAGTAAAAGGATCCGTTAACTTGTATTTTGTGTCGGGTCTGTGGGTGATCAGAGCACGAGGGTTTTACATGGAACGGCTGCTTTTGAAGCAAACTGGCTTGGAAGGATGTTCTTCTAGAGAAAGGAGGGAGCCCTGTGTTCTGTGCTACCTCTCACAATTTAAAAGCAAATGTTACGTTCTGGTTCCTTTGCATGTTTCCCTTGTTCCTGCATAGTTAGAGGGGATGAAGTGTCATCTGCTGGGAAAGGACAGGATGAACGAGTTCTGTGTACTCCTTTACATCTTGAAAGAGCCGCGTATCTTGGTGAAAGTGACTTTTCACAGCAGGGATTTCCCCTGATTAATTTAGAGTTCAGGTATTTGAAAAAGTTACTTTTGGAACCTGAACTGCATGATCTGAGGAAAAAAAAAAAAAGTCTTCCAAGTCTTCCAGTGAACTGAGAGGTAAAAACTTCTACAAGCACGCTTAGCCTCGCTAGTAACATCAGTGGTTTGAATGTTGCTGCAGTGCTTTTGGTAAATATTGAGACTGATTTTATGCTCTTTTTTTTTCTTTTTTTTTCTTTTCAACGGAAAGGAGGAACTTCGTCAGTTGTATCCTTTTTGTACCGTTCATCCCTCACATGCAGGAATCTTCAAGAAAATCAGCAGCAAAAGTTTCACCTCTTCCTGCCTAATAAATCTGCACAATGTGATTTTAGTGTTATTCTGCGAGTCTCCCATCATCAGCACCATCAGTATGAAGCTAAACTGATAAGACACTTCTTCCAAGGGAAGGTGGTTTTTGGAGCTGGGGCTTTTTGCTGAGATTTTGTCCCATTCCTGCACAATCCCCTCTAACCTATCCCCCAGTCTTGACAGAGGGCTGGCAGACATTTTCTGATCACATAACTGCTCACTGACTTAAGAAGCAAGGCTAAAAATTGGATTTGTGGGTTCACAGACACAAGTCCCATGCAGCACACCTCACAGACAGCTGACAAGAGGCAGTAAAAGCAGCTTTCAGTAGTACTTCCTCTTCTTTCTTATTAATTCTCCCAACCTTTTCTCTTGCCAAGATCTAAGTAACCTCCTAAGAAGAGACACCCTTCTCTTCAGAGATTTCCATGCTTAGAACCCACCTAGTAATTTTTTGCTCCACCCTCCTTCAACTGGAAAAACACAAAAACCTGGTTCTGTTTTAATAAGATGAGATTCTCTGGGAACTGGAATACATCTGCTGCGTGTGGGTGGGTGCTGCCTTCAAAAACCGGATGGGTCGTTCCCGTAGAGGATGCCTGGGATGAAATCCCTGCTTAGACAGTCTCAGGGTATTTGAGAAGGGCTAGGGAGAGAGGAGGGGATGAAGAATGCCCTGAGTGTAGAAAGACAGCTGGAAATAATGAAACCTGCACTGATGCCTTCCTTGTATAAATTGCATTGTATTATTTAAGACTAAGAAAAGCATCTGGTGCAATTTACTTATCAGAAATACCTCTGAATGGCCAGACTTTCTAGACTCCTTGAGCCACATTCCAGCTTCTCTATGTGGTGGTGAGCCCCAGGATGTCCTTCCTGTATTATGTATTGCATTAATAACATGGTGCTGTGCCTCGGGAGAAAATGATTGTCAGTGTGAGGTGCCTGCTATATAGGAGTTGTACTGACCGTGGGGGTGAGTGGGCGGGCTCTCGAAGGCATCTGTTAGTTATCTCGTATAACCCAGGCATTTAAATGCTTTTGTAGTCAGAGGGAGAGGTGGGATGGTAATTTAGCCCACTGCAATCAGGAGCTGCTTGGTTATGAAGTTGCTCATCTCGGCTGTCTCCAGGGGGAGCCCGGGTGATTAATTCAGACCAGAGGCATAACTTTCTGATGGTTATCATCTTAGGATGGCTGCAGGTGAGATGGATCTGTCCCGAGCCTGTAAGTAACTCTTCCCTATTTGTACCTCAGTGCTTGCCGTGTTCCCTGCCTTTCAGAGGCATTCCGAGGGTGTGTTAAGGATTGGGGAGGTCTCAAATACCTTGGCAGTGGATCCACATGGATATAAATAACTAGAGCTAACTATCGCCTTATGCTAGACAACAGTTTGTTTTATGAGCAGCGAGTTAAGGAAGTCTATTGTACAAATCTACATCTCAAAGTTGAGCTTATGGCCTTTCTCAGGCACACAACAAAGGCTGAGCTCAGCTCTCAGACTTTCCATCGTGCGGGCAGTAACAGGGCTTGTCTGCTTCACAGAGCCACCTATTTTCAAAACGTAGAGGAATTTGATACATTGGAGTCTGCCAACCGTCTGTCAGCTTGGTTTGAGCTGACTACCAGGTATAGAAGTCTGGGGAAATGTACACACACACACACACACAGCTCATTTCCTTAAGCTAACAAATAACCCACTACAAACCAAATTAAAAAATAAAAAATAAAAAAGGAACAAAAACCAAGCCTGAAACAGCAAGCTGTTGTCCTAGCTCCTGGCATTTGTGATCTCAAGTTACTTTCTGAAACCTGCCCAATATGCCAGTCATAGTTGATTCATTTAGTATAACAAGGCACAGCAGTTTGTTTTGAGGTTACTTAGGAAGTGGTTATTTTATGAAATGGATCCCACCTCATTACTATGAGAAATCCTTAACAGCAGTTATCAGCTCTCATCTGTTCCTTTACAGATTCTACTTTATATAAATGGGTTTTATTACATCTTTTACTTCTTGGCGACTCTCGCCATGATTTTTTATAAACGTAAGTTGCATGCTTTCTAACCAGAATTAGGCTGCATGGTTATGTGTTGCGTGTGTTTTGTCGGTATCCCCACCGTATTCTTCTGTCTTATTTATGCTGTGCTATTTTCCAGGTCAAGTTTTCAGTTATCCGGACAATTTTTTGGCTCCTGATCTCACCCTGCTTTTCATTATGGCCATTCTGGAAGCACTCCGATTATACTTGGGTATGTCATGTTATCACTGTGCCTTTTCAGTGGAATGTAGTCTCTAACCATTAATCATTCTGAAACCAAGCGTGTGTCAGAATGTGCCGATGTAGCAGAAAAGCAGTTTTTTGGGGACTTGTTCATTTATGTCATTAAACTTTATCTGACTGATCAATATATTTGGCCAGAGGGTCAAATAGAATTTTCTCTCCTACGATGCATGATCTATAAGGCCATTGGAAAACAAAGCAGGGTTGTCAGAAAGCAGTATAACTGGGACAGCAGGAATGCTGCTGTGCTGTTTACAAGTGAGCGTGACTTGTGAGAGTGAACATGTTGAAACAGAGATTTCCATTCACCGAGGCGATACAGCTCCTTTCAGCTGCTCCAGCAATGTACGAAAGTAGCCAAATGGAAGGAGCCTTGTGGAGCAGGTAATGCTAAGGATGTCCCTGAGCAGCCTACTGGGACTAAAGCTTTTCCTTTCAATCCTTCTAAAGACACACATCAGCTCCAACATCTTCCTTTCACTATGCCTGAACAGCATAAAGAACCCATTTGGAATCCTACTGACCACTCACCAGAGCGAGCTGTAATTTCATAAAGTCCTTTTTTTTTTTTTTTAAGCAAGGTTTACAATTAAAGTGTTAAAATAGTAATATTTAAATTTGTGCTAGATATATCTAAGACGTTTACACAAGGTGGGTCTCTGTTGAATTCTAATGAGTTGCTGTAGGGGTGAATTTTTAGCCTTAAAGCACTCTGCATATATTTGCTTGGAGCAGTTGGATAAATAAAAAAACAAATTTCAAGTTTCATGTAGTTAAAATCTACCAAGACGAGCTCAGAAATAAGATGCAAGAAAAAATAAGTGCAGCTTCCTCATAATGATAGTAATTTGCAGTAGGAATAGATTACTAGGGAATATAAAAGATTCTCTGTTGCATAAGATTTTAAAATCAGTATTGGATATCCTTAAGTGTGCCCCACAGTCACCAAGTTGTCAGGCTAGGTGTGGGGCTGGAGGGGCACTGGGGGGAAAATTTGGTGCTAGATCAAGAAGAGGGTCAGACTGAGCAATCAGAATAGCTGCAGCTTCAGAACTGATTATTGTAGTAAGAAAAGGTTGGTGTCTTGACTCTGAGTGTCAACTGGTTGCTCTTTATTTAGCTTAACTTCAGTCAGCAAGAAATTGATTGTCCATTGGCGTTTGGGTTGGTTCTTAGATGTACTGAGACTGCCTTCGTTCAGGCCAGTATTTCTTTATACTCTGAACTGTAAGAAATAGAGCCCTTTTCGAACAGGAAAACTCCAGACATGGGGCTTGAGACGTCGTCATGAGAAATCAAAGATTCATACCAGCTTTTTGTTTCCTTCAAGGTTCAAAGGGAAACCTGACAGAAGAAGAGGCTCCATTAGGGCTCAGTCTTGTGATAACAGTCGGGAGTGTGATTCTGTCTGTGTACTTCCTGGTATGGCAAACTTACGTGCTGAAAGCAGATGTCATTATAAACGCCGTTCTTCTCTTCATATATGGGCTTGAGTCAGTACTACAGGTCCTGGCTATTGCTGCCTTTGTTGGCTAAAACCCAGCTGTGTGGCACAGCAGGTTTGCAACACATTTCTTCCTTTAAAGAGTGCTTTTTACATTTCAAAGATTTGGTTCTTTTGCATATAAAAAATCTGTAAAGCTTTCTCCTGTTTAAACTATTTTTCTTTGGCAGAGATCTCCCCAGATGGTAGGTGAGATACCGTAAGATAATATTGCAGCTGCGTTACGCTATCTCACTAATGAGCATATGTATGGGCAAACACCAGAGATGATTCAGCAAAAACGCCTGATGTTCGTCAGGAATCGATACTAAATGCTCATTCCCAACACAGAACAGTAGCTAGTGCATCATATAGCTACGTGTCAGTGAGATTGCATGAGCTTTCACAGCATGGCAGCAACGTGCAACCCAAGTGACACAGAAGTGAATCAGGCCAGCATAGCCTGGACTCATTTCTGCCTTGACACATACGCTTCTGTGTGTCAGGGCACAGTTTTGCTTTATTATACATCTTCTGCTCTCATTTGTGTTTTCAGACCCCAGCGGTAATTTCCCTGACTTTAGTAGGGCAGTGCCTGATTTATCCCAGTGGGAGGGAGAGAGTTGAATTGAGTTTTGCTCATACTTGAAGAGCTGAGGTTTGGGCAGCTGGTTCTTGCTGATGTGGAGGCCAAAGGCAGTAGTGTGAGGGTTTGTTTGTTTAAATAGGACGGACCTCAGATGAACATAAACATTCACCATTCACACACCCTTGTGTCCTATTTGAAAGCCCAACAGAATGTTGTCAGGTGTATTTCTGTCTAGCAATAAATGTATTTATATCCATGATTCTGCAGAAAGTACTGCATTCCAGCCTCTTACTAAGTGAAGAACTGTGTGCAATTTCAGATTTTTTTTTTCTCTATCAAAAATATGCAATAACATGTAGCTTGGGCAGTTTGTGGGGTTTTTGTACAAGCAGTTTTTGTATTCAGAATTTCTTATTTTTGTATTTATTTATTCAAATAAATAATGTGTTAGATCTAAGAAGTGTTTGAAGTGCAGAGCATTTTGTTCAAATCTTAGGGTACAGCTAAGCTGCACAAAGAGAGACTTGGGCGAGACTGGATGTGTGCAACAAACTTCTGATCCCACTGCAGCTGTATTTAGGCCATGCTCCTGTGCTGGGAAAGAGTGTTTGAGGTCTGCGCTAATTTACACTAGCCAAGGGCTGAAAGTACAGTGGAATAGACCCAGCACAGCCTCAGCCACATCGCTTTTTTCTTGCCAGTGGTGGCAGGAGGGAACAAAGGTGCAGAAGCACCCGGTTTCATCCTTCAGTCTTAGCTGTGGGAGCCCGTTCAAAGGCCAGTAACGCCAGCTTCTGGCCACGTCACACCGCCCTGTAGTCAAAACCAAAACATTGTATGCTGGCATGAATTTCCTCGGGCCAGATCCTCATCCTGGTCTAGTCAGTGTCACAAACAACCCTTTGCTGCTCAGCAGGTGGAAGGTTGCACCCGTGAAGACAGTGAAGCAGCAGAACTGAGTGTGAAGAAGCTGCCAGTAAACTGAATGACCAAATGTTTCTGGGCTTAATCTGCACAAATCAAATACCCACCCATTTGTTCTTCCAGATTTGCTTGGCATAATGGAATGTACTCATCTCATACTTGTTATGAAGATTGACAAACATACCTACCTGGATCTACGCTGGTAATGATGAATGCATTCCAAGCAAAAGCCCTTTCTGTATGCGTACAAATAAAAGAACAAATTTTCCTGGTATCTATTTATACCTGCCTTATACAGAGGTCTGGAAATAGTCTGACGGGTTTTAAAGGAAACTCTGCTAAGTGGAATGTTTTTGTTGTTTTTTTTTTTTTACCTGAATGTAGGTGGTACAGCAGATGGAGTCACACACGTTGACTTCAAGTTGCAGCCTCTGCACTTTACCTTCCTTCCATCTCATGGTGCTTACTACAGACAAAATACAAAATATTAGCACAAGTAGAGGTTGCAAAGACCTAGAGTGTAGACAGATACACGACATGTTAGTAAAGTTAGCAGAAGGTGTTCCTACCCTGACATGTTTAACTGAGTCCCCACCACAGGTCACCACCACCTCAGCTACTGCCCTACAACCGTTTTGGATTCTGCATTGTAAAAATGGATCTTGTGCAGAAAGCAGTCCTCAGAAACAGCTGTTCTGGTGAAGGTGTTAATGAGGTGATGGCTGCCATGTTTAACCCCACAGTATAATACAAGTTCAGGACAGTCTGCTGCACCACACAGAGAAAAGCAGCCACCTCCTCAAGCTTTAGAAAGCACGCTCCGTGATGAACCTGCTGGTCCCTAATGGCCTCACACCATCAGCTAGATGGAAAATGAGAATTAACAGAGACTGATAATGCTCACTTACAGGCAGCAGTGGGTAAGTATACGATGATAAACCAATTTTCAGGCTTGTTTCAGAGCCTGATGGCTTGCAGACTGGCCACTGGTGCTTGCTGGGGGTCAGCTGATGCCAACCTGGACCTGTACCCTCAGAAGGGCAGGACAGCTCCACGTCATTCATCTGATTCCAAGATACCAAGAAGTCCAGAGACTTCTTCTGATTAGATGCTCAGATACTGAGATACTTCACTGGTGTCAGCCCCTCACTCTGATGGATGTAGGAGAAGAAAGAAGCTTCAGACAACTCCTCCACCTCGGATATTTCCAGGGTTTGAATGGGAATTGTCATTTATGCTGGTGACTGATTTTGTGACAGTTTCTCTCTCTGCTGTACCAACAAAGACCAAAGTGATTTAGGCCCTGACCTCAGAGCATTTCTTTAAGCAGCAACTTCCTTTCCAAACTGTTCCCACTGCTCAGAGAAGCCAGGGCACAGCATAGTAAAGCCATTGATGACATTTGCCAGACATAAGATCGCTGGAGCTTTTAATTATGAGGCCCAGCCCTTCTGAAACAGGATGAGCAAGTTGGATGAAAACGGCATTAAAAATTTAGAGGAACACATATTTTGAGGAGCTGGGTTTGGGTGTTGTTTACTCCGCAAGGAAGAAGTCTTTGTTCTCAAGCCATCAGAGGGGTGTCTGCCGCCAACCTGATTTAAAAGGCTGATCCCAAGAAGCAAGTTGGCCTCCTGGCATTTCACGCTCAGATATTTTGAGAGATGGGGCTTTACTGGTCCGAAGCTCTTCCGTGTTCCACAGCAGGCAGAAACAACACAGAGACCAAAATGCAACCAAAGTGCTGCATTCCCGTGGTGACAGCCACCTTCATCCCAGTTTTGAACATCTTCGAGCTGTGGAAGAAGGAGAGAGGCTGAGGGTGTGCGCTCATCCAGCTCTGCGTGTGGGAACCAAGCGAGCTGGTGTGCAGGCACTGCTGTGTGCATCAGGGTAATTCCCCATCTGGCTTAGTGCCTCTGCCCCACTTTGACCGGCACCAGATGTTGCAAGGAAGATGTATTGAGCTCAGTTGTGGTTTTCTTTCCTGCCCAGAAGTTCCCTCCTCTGCTCAGCAGTTAGAGATTCCCTACGGGGCACGGCACCTCACGGTAGCCCGCTGTGCCTATTTTCATAATGAACACGGAGCCGAAACTGCCAGATAACAAGCAGTTAGCGCCTGAAACATTAAATAGCTTCTCCAACAATATCCTTCCAACTACCTGTTTGCATCCCGGGAAAGTGAGCCCAGCCCAGTGCTCCCACTGGAACGCCCCGGTGGCGGCTGACGCATTTTAGCGGTAAGGCTCTCTTGCACAAAACCTTTCAGCTGCAAGGCCTACCAGCACGTTCCCACCGTGTTTTCCTGCTGTTGGAACTGATGTCTCTTCCCCTCCTGGGTTGGCAGTCTCCAAATGGTGTTTCTCCCAAGGCTGGCTGTGTTTGCATGCACAGAGATGCTCCCAGGATCGCGCTGACACCGAGGCGAGGAGGATGACGGGGCGCAGGGTGGGTGCATTACGCTGAGCAGCACCAGATCACATTTCCCTGCAGTGGAAGAGGTCATTCTCCTGCCAAAACCGAGCTGCTGATAATCTAAGCTGTCCTTTGGGGAGCTGGCTCTCCCCCTGCCCGTCCGGCTCACCCAGCAGCATTCCTCCCACGATAACTCACCAGGGGCGTTTCTGCCGCGTGGCTTCGGCCGTGGGCCAGGCAGAGAGCTGAGCGCGAGCCCCCGTGGTGCAGCTGGCACTGAGGAAACCACCACGATGGGGAGCTTGACAGGCACTGTGTTGAGGAGGCCGGGCTTCCTCCAGGCTTGTGTCCTGTGGTGGAAGCATCTTCGTATTTCTCTGGTCTCTGCTGGAGCTGCAGCTTCCTAGGGCCGGTGGTGGTGGTGTCTATCATCCGTGTGCCATGGGCTCAACACACGCTGGAGGAGTGGGCTGGGGGGGGGGGTGTCTGTCAAGCACATCCACTTTAATCAAATCTTTTAACAAGCTCTATTTTGTCAAGATCCGCCAACCAGACGGATCACACACTACCACTGCTGTAACACCCATGAACTCAGCTGGTATTTTCCAGCTTAATGATCCTCAGCCCATGAGCTAATCCCATCAATTTAAAAAATGTTTAAAAACTAAGTCTTCAGACAGATGAAACCAGGTACTTTTTGAGAGAAATAGTCTGCCCACACGAGAGACTGTTCCCCAGAGAGCAGCGTCCCTCCGAGCCCCAAACCACACACTCAGCAGCACAGAGCTGGCAGCAGGGCAGACCCCAGAGCGCAGCCCAAACATCCTCAACATATCCTGGCAACAGAAGCTCAGGAGCAGCCTTACCGTCCTTTAAAATTTGCCTGTTTTTTGGCGAGCAAGAGAGGAGCAACAAGGGAAAACGAGGAGACTGAAGTTTCTTTTCTAAAGAAACCCTTTCAGAGAGCATGAGGGTAATGCATAGGGATGGCGAGAGCACTCACCACAATGCAAGGAGCGATGCTCAAGTCCTACCTCGGTTCCTCATTGCCAGAAGCTGCTTTTGCTTTCAGCGTGCCTCTCCTGGTACCTGGAGAAAAGGAGCAATGCCCTGGCTCCTGCTGGTACAGACGATGCGGCTTGTACAGCTGCAGGGGAGGTCCAACACAGCACTGCAATAGCATGGGAATGCTCTGCACATTGGCCAAAATGGCCTTTTAGATCTCATCTCCACCAAAGCCTGTGGGTACAAGTGTGTGAATAAAGGCAGGGTCCTACCTGCAGCAGTCAACAGAGCAGAGCCCACAACGAGCACCTCCAGCTGAGGAGCAATTCCTGCTCAGGTGGCACGGTGATGCCTGGTGCCAAAGGCCAGCAAGCCCTCAGCTCCCCCCTGTGCCACAGCAATTTCTCGTCTCAGTCCTCCCAAAGGTGATTTAAGCCCCCTTCCTGCCATAACCCTCTGCTAAAGCTGTGTTTTGCCTCTGCCCAGTGCCAGGGGCTGAAATGTGGGGCAGAGATATGGGGCAGAGCCCTGCTACCTCCCACCACCTCAGGAACTGGGGCAAGATGAGGGGCTTTATGGCCGTGCCACCCTGAGGGGCACAGAGCTGTGCCATGCGGTGCCCTGGCTGGGACTCAGCTCCTCACCCCCCCACTGGTTTGGGGACCTGGGGAGAGAACTTTTTGCCCTCTTTGTCCACCTCACGGCATCTTTCCCCGCTGCAGATGTCAGGGCAGAGGGAGAGGCGAGAGCAAAGCTGGAGGAAAACAAGCGGCGGAGCTGCAGAGAAGGGCGCCAGGTTGCACAAAAGGTGCCTTGTTCCCCCCGCGAGGCGCTCGGGGCAGCGCGTCCCCTCCCTCGCCCTCGATGGAAAACCCAGCTCAAAACACTCCTTCATCACCCACCTCCCCCCCGCTGCCTTCTGCCTCCCGCTTGGGCACGAAATGTTCTCAGGCGGAAGAAACCTGAAGTTTTACACGTCCCCCCCAGGCAGAGCACGGCTCGGCTCTGGCTCCCCTTGGGCCAGGAGCGGGCGAAGGCCCCAGGTGCCCCCGCACCTCACGGGGATGCAGGCGCTGCGCCGGGGCCACCGGCTCCTGGTTATACAGTAACCTGTTGCTCCGGGTCCAGCTCCACCTCTCGCTGCCTCCACATCCCTCCCCTCCTCTCTCCTCTGCCAAGAAACCTCTGTCACCTGCTCGCAGACAACTGGGGCGAGTGGCACGGGGACGAAAGGGCAGAGCGAAGCCGGAGGCAGCGGGACCCCCGGGCTGGGGCGCTGGGTGGGCTCTGCCTTGCTCTCCCCTCCATCCTCTCGGCTGGGGCACTCGGCTCGTGGGCAGAGCGTGTCGCAGGGAGGCACAGGGAGCTGGGCTGCCGGAGAATGGCAGCAGGATTGCACTAGGAGGGCACAGCTAAGTGGGACAGGACGTACAGGAGCCAAGGAGACTGCAGGAGACACCAGAGGCTTCTCGGCACCGGTGAGTCTCTCCTTTCAAACCCTAAAACTTTACATCCCCCCCCTCACCCCCCTCCCTGAGTTTATCCGCTTCAAAAGTTTGGCTGATTAAGCCTCGGAGGGGGCGTGATCAGAGGGGGCTGTGGCTGGGATACCTGTAAATGTATACTTTTATATCCTTTTTTTTCAACGTGAAAAAAAAAAAGTTATTTTTCTAGCAGAATTTTTTTCTGGGTTTGTTTCCCGTTCTTGCACGTCCCCAGCAGGCTAGATCCAGTAGGTGGCACTTTCTTGGCAGCAAAATGTCCGTCCTGCACAGAACAGGATCTTTTTTTCGTTTCTAATGAAGCTCGGAGACAGTAGGGTTTGAGCAGCTGTTTGTTTGCAAACCTTGGGGTTTCCTCCCTTTGGGATGTGTGTGGAGAGAACTTTTGCCGCTACCCACCGGGCTCCTCTCAGGCTGCTGCTTTCGATGAGCTCTCCCTGCCCATGACCTTGGCAGGATTCAATACCCTATTTCAAAATCAGGGGAAGGCTCGCTCAGAGCCACCCTATCCCCTCGCATGACAGCTCCAGCTACCTGCGAGCTTTCATTCCTATTCCCGAGTCTGAGAGCTGCTCTCCTTCCCCTTTCACTTATTTGCCTGGAAAATGCCAGTGCAAACTCCACTGAGGACAAGGTTCAGGGACAAACGATTTGACTGACGTTATTTTTAAATATGCAGAATAACTCTGAGACAACACAGTAGTAAAATACAGTGATTGCCCTGCCACAATTAGGGCAGTGGAGGGGGTAACGCTTCTGGTGCTGGGCTGCTCTGAATCGCCACATGAAGCGAGTGCTGTAACTGGGGGTAGATCTGTTGGTGGTTGCGTGGCCAGGTGCTACAGTGCCGAGCTGCTTCTGTGGGCTCTGTCCCAAAAACGGACTTTTTTATGGGTTAAAGTAACAACAGAGAGAGGCTCAGCCCCCAGCAGATGCACAACAGCCGAAGGGAAGACCCACGCGGGGTTTTACCTGTGACTGCCACATGCAGCAGGGCTCCTGGTTAGTTGAGTGATCGATTTTGGGGTTGACAAGGGAGAAAAATTAGTCCTCAACACACATAAAGGGCAGAGGGATCATGGGGCCCTTTAAAACACAGCTGTGAAGAGGGAGTTGGGATCCACTGTGGGAACGTGTCTGTAAAGTGGCAAAGGTCATTGCTTCGCCCTATTAAAAACAAGGTTAAAAACTGGTGTTTGGGATAACACAAACAGATGGATTAAACCCCAGGCCTGCTGTTGGGCCTGGGTTGTACCTGCTCTTGGCTTTTGCTGCTGAAGAGTTAGGAAGCGAGGCTGGTCGGGGACTTCTTGCTCTCTCAGCTGGATCCCAGCCCTGCAGCGTGCACAGGAATCTGCAGCGAGTCCGGCACAGGATCTGCTGCACTCTGCAGGACAAGAAGGGTGGGTTAAGCATGTAAGGAAAAAAGTTACAGGGCCTGGGTCTGTTTCTGGGCACTGGAGAAGCAGCTGAGCACCAGCATCATTGATCAGGTTATTGGTAAAGACCCAAGGAAGGGAACAGCTGTGACAGAGCGCTGCTGCTGTGCACGCACACGCATACTCCCCCGTTTGCTCGGTGTGATAAAGCAGTTTGCCAAGCTTGCAGTCCTCAGCTTTCTGCCACCGTGGCTGTCACCTCCCAGCAGCAGAGCGGGCAAACTCACTAAGTCAGAGGTGAGCAGCCTGAAGGGGGAAATATCTTCTGGGCCACGGGCCCTGTATCTGAGGCAGACAGCCTCTCTCCTTTGGTGCCTACTTTTGTTGACTGCAAACAACTCACCATCAGCTGGAGTGACAAAACCTGGCCCTGAGCCTGGCCAAGTAGGTCCTCTGGGTTGTTGCTGCTGTGGCTCCATCTGACCGACTCCCTGTCTGCATGGACGGGGTGCTTGCCAAGCTGGACAGCAGCTCGCCTGCGTGCACGCAGGTGCGTTGTGAAGAAGGAGCCGTCTGCGGTAGCGTTAGCAGCAGCCACCATTTTGTAGGGCTGTCCTGCTGGGGCTGCCTGGCTTCAGGAAAGGGCACGAAGAGGCAGGGAGGGGTTGCACAGGAGGAACCCAGGCCAGCCAGCATCACTCCAAAGGAGTAACTGGGCTGTTCATCCCAGCAAGGAGCCCCTGCTGAGATGGATGGCCTCGGGGCCACGTCTGCAGATGTGTGCTGGCATCTCACCCTTCACCAGATAGTTTTGAACGTGCTGGAAAACAGAGAGTTTTTCGCAGGGCCACAGAGAAATTCAGCCTGGAAGCATAACTGCATAGGGACAGCGATTCAGAAGAGACCCTAATGGACTCGTGAGCTTTCAGTCCTTCTGGTAGACAAAGAAAGGAGTGAAACAGGAAATATATGCGTTGGCTTGTGTAGGCTTGAGAAACATCCATATAAATAAGTCTGGGTGCAAAGCCTGAGTGTGTGTGGGGAGCCTCGGAGCATTATTCCCCGAGGGCTGGGTCCTGGGGTGCTGCTTTGGAGCCATCTCCACCACACTGTCTTGCTTTCTTTCTCTCTTCCATGCCACGGTCTTGCTCTGCATGCTGTCAGGGCAGGTTTGTGGTTTTGACGAGGACTCAGCCATCTTCTCCTTGTGCGGGGCTGATGTCTGGCCTCACGTCTGTTTTACAAAACAGCAGTCAGCGCATGTCTTTGCACGGCCTTTAGCCTATGAGCTTGGTGTCATTGGCAATAAAATTCATCACCCTCTAAAAATACTCGAGCCTCACCAGCCTTCCCTTGCGTGTCCCGGGCAGAAGTGCTGGGACAAGTGCACCAACTTCCTGGAGCAGCAAATGATGGCTTCCCGCGCTGCAATAAAGCCTTCTCGGCAGCAGGGTGTCTTGTGGTGAGCAGCAGCATGCACGCAGTACCGGGAAGACCTGGCAGCACTTGGCTTTTCCAGCACGGCCTCCTAAATTACCCTACTTTGGCCAAGGTTCAGCAGGTGCCCAGAAAAAATACTTACCTACCTACCCAGGAGGTATTCCAGCCTCCCACTCGAAGGGAGGGGAAGGATGAAACACTTGGCAGAAACGCTGCCAAGAGGGATTCGATCATGGAGAGACGATCCCATGCACTGGTGTCATTGAGCTGCTCCTGCATGGACGAAGCCAACTCTGCATGACGTGAGAGCTCTTCCTCTCCCAGGGAAGTGGGAGGTTTCCTTTCCACCCAGCTGGGGATGTCACTGCCTGAAAACTTGAAATACACGATGCCACAGGGGGTTAACCAAAAGAGCTCCAGTGTTTTTATTTCCTGGTAGTTCAGATAAATCAGGAAGAATCACAATGAGGAAGGGTGTGTAGCTGGGAGCTGGACCAGTCTGGAGACTTTCCCCACTCACCTGCACTGCAGTTTCCCAGGAGTGCTCAGCCCGTGTTCCCATTCCCTGAATGATCCCAAGGGTTTTATTGCGATGTGCTCACCACCACCGAGGTTCCACCAAGGAAGCAGACCAAAAGCTTCCCCAAAAGCTTGCCTTCTGGACAGTGGGCACACACACTACCTTCCTCCACTCACACTGAGTCCATTCTGGACTTGTTGTCACAAGGAAGGAGTTTGTGTCCTGTGGGATCCCATGGGAAGGAGGGGCTGTGCTGGGGCTGTTCCCAGTTGTGGTGGTGGGTTGGGGATGGGGATAGGGATAGGAAGAGAAAGCCAAAGGTGGGGACTCACAGGAAGGGGGCAGCTGATAGGATCTGGCAGCAGCTCTGGCTGTCGTGATGGGCAGGTGTGGCACAAATGAGCCCTCGTGGCTCACTGACCTCCAGCCCAGCCTTGCCCAGGGCACAGGCGGCTCCTTTGGTGGCCAGTAGAGCAGTAACGCTCCGCATTAGTTGGGCTTGGGTCTTCAACACCACCTTGAAAAGAGCCAGCAAATGCTTTAATGCTTTCTTTGCTTTGGTTTTCAGCCGGGTTACTGGCACTTCAAAGCTTTTCATAATTTGAATTTGCTTGAATTTTGTTCTTCCTACTTCCTTTTTTTTTTTTTTTCTCCCACTCTCTTATCAGTCTGAGCCTGTCCAGATTTATATCCTACAAAGGTAAATTGCGGACCATTTGAATGGCAATAAACCAAAGTTCAGCCACCCAGCAGTAATGCTGACCATTGCTAAGCAATACAGAAAGTAAAAAACTGCCACTAGCAGGATGGTGATTAAATCAAGTGAGCAGGCACAGTCTGAGCCAACACCAGCCTCCCCCAGACTGTTTACATGCAGCTTCCCTCTCGCTGAAGACAACCAGAAGTGGGAACTATCTGGGAGCCGATCACTGAGCTCCAGCGAGGAGCACAGCGCCACTCACTTGTTGCTCCTCACGGTGGTTTTCGGAGACGGGACAAGGCGACAAGGTGCCTGTGCTGGCTTCACACCAGGGCTGTGTCTAACTCAGAAGCTCTTTGTGTGTTGGAGGTGTTGGCTGCTGGGAGAACTAGAGCTGCCACCCAAGCTGTGGGCTCTTAGATACCTGCACCAGCAAATATGAAGTCAGCAAACCCAAACCCTAACCCTAACTCACCTCCTTGCTGAGGATAAAGCAGGTGCCTTGTCCTTTACTGCTGCTCACTCCTCATTGCTACCAGCAGGATTCCTTTGGGGTCACTCCTCATCCTGCAGGAGATGGTTGGCAGTGAGGAGGGTGCTGGTGGGTGCTGGTTCTTAGTCCAGGTGTGGCTCACAGGGAGTCACAGAGGCTTGCGGCTTGGGCCAGAACTGGGACTCGTAGATATGAAATCCTCCAAGCCAGGTTTGAGGCTTTCGATGGTAACTCTATGGAGAAAGAAGCAGCAACTCTGCTTTTGCTGTGTCTGTGCAGAAGATAAGCACTGAGACATCTGTTTGCCCTAGCCTGAGACACCTCTTTCATCAGTAAATTCACTTTATGAAAACACTGGGGAGAGGGGAAGAGAGAAAGGTAATTGCACCCACGACAGCCCTTAATAAATCACAGGCTGGAGCCTGCTCTCATTCCTGACACTGCTGCCTCTTAATTATAGCTGTGTTCATCTGAGGAGACGGAGTAGGAGAGCCGGGCTTTATGCAGAAGGGAGCACTAATTAAAACCTCTCTGTTCCCTAGAAAGATATTCATGCTTTCCTCTGGGGAGGAAGCGAATGGACTTGTTCCCGGCCATTCCCGCAGGTTAATCTGTAACACTGACTTTCACACAGCAAGGCAGTTCGTCTTGTTTTCAGTACGTGATGCTCTTGGCATTGCTTCTGGGTTGAGATATGGGACTTTCAAAACTCTGTGAAGAAGGAGGAGGAACAACAAGCATCTGGATAGCCTGTGCAGGTGTGGGTGCTGCTTGTCCAGTGTAAGGTTTGGGATTAGGGGCTGGCTCCTGAGTTGTCCCCTGCTGAGACTCCAGCCCTTAGTATCTGACACAGGCAGCATTTCTGGGAGGAAGTGTGCCCCAGCCTGCACCCAAGCAACACTGGGAGATGAGCCTCTGACTGGAATTAGATGGACCTCAAGAGGCTGGATCCATGCTCAGCTCCACAGGAGAACAGAACCAGGCCCCTCAGGCAGGCAGGGGATGGAGCCTTACAGCACCAGGTACCTGCAGGCCAGCATCCCGAGCAGATGGTGGTGATGGTACACGACTGGTGGTGATGGTACACGACTGGTGGTGATGGTACACGACTGTGCTGACACAAACCCTTCCAAACTGCAGGAGGACAGTAGGACATCTACGACACGGGAACAGCAATTTGGCCCACTGAAGTCAAAGTGCTGGTTCCTAAATGGTGCAAGTCAGCACTTTGCAGCTGGCCCTGCAGTACTTCAGTAGCAGAGGCTGGTGAAGGGAGAGCCCAGTCCAGCATCCCAGCATAAGCTCACTCCAAGCAGGCACTCAAACAAAGCCAGGGCAGGTTAGATATGAATAACATGGGGAGCATGTTTTTTTTTTTTTTTGTTTTTGTTTTTGTTTTCAGTAGAATTGGGGAGAGTAAATGTGCCATAAAAGACTCTCAGGGTTGATTGTAGATCCGCAGCACTGTCAGGTTTGTTGCTGCTGTCAGTTGCTGCTGCTTGAATAAGTTAAAAAAAAAAAAAAAAAAAAAAAAAAAAAAAGTTTCACCAACTGAAAAAGAAAAAAAAAAAAGCCAGAAAAACTGCAGCTTAGTCAGAGGAGCTGCTGCACTGACCTAGGTGAGAGCAGGTTGAACAGGATAAATTGAAAGCAAATGTACCAGAGCTGTGCTTGTCGCTGGTCTTTGCCAGTAGGAGCAGGTAACACCCTAGGTGTGGTCAGGCCATCAGCTGCCTGAGCAATCCTCTCACACGTGGAAGCACCCTTCTTCCACTGCTCCTCCGCTCTGCTGCTGTTTAAAAATAAAGAAGGAAGGGCCCTTTTATGTGTGACTTAAGTTACGAAACTCACAATACTCTCCAGCTTGGGAGTGACGGAGCTGAGGTGCTGCTGTCCTCGAGATCCGCGATGCTGCCCGTGGCATGGAGACAGTGAGATGGGAACAGTTGTTTACTGATAACAGAGCCGGGGGGCATCCTGAGAAACCAGCAGCTGGCAAGTGCAGTGCAGACAAAAGGAGATGGTTGAGCTCACCACGCAGAGCTGAGCTGCATCTTGCCGCAGGTGGTTTGGGGTGTCAAAAGTTTAGATGGGTAGGACAAAGTGCAGTCAGACAAATTCACCCTGACACCTGCAGGGAGCTGAGCACAGGGGGGAGAGGCAATGGGTGACCCTGTGTCCAGGCAGCTGCCTCTGGCCCCAGCCCCAGCAACTGATCAGTGAGAGGAAATGCTGTGTAGGTTTAATCACAGCCTAGGAAGCGAGGGCTGAGGGTGGCTGGATGAAACAAGCTGAGCACTCAGCGCCCGCCTGCTGCAGTCACATGCGGACTAGACCAGACAGGTCCCCAGAACATCTGCTCCACACCTGGCACAACCCCAAGGAAACTCCTGATCTCTGCTCCCTGCCTGCCAAGACCTTGTAAGTCAAAGGTTAGGAGAACACTGTAAAGCACTGGTGAAGACAGCAGGGCCAATCTGGGCTGTCACCACTCTCGGCAGTCCCTAGTGTTTTCCTAAGAGCACTGTGTGTGACGCTGGCTCCAACATGATCTGTCCGTGGCCAAGTGCAAATAGCTGCCAAGATGCTGCATGAAGAATCCGCTCTCCACTGCATGGGTGACTGCCACTCAGGTCCTCTCGTCTCAGCATTCTTTCCTCTGACACCTCAAGTGAAATTAGGGCTTGGTTAGCTCAAAACACTCAGCTTAGCAGTAGGTCCATGCTAGGCTTTTGCCACAAGTTGGTCCTACAGATGAGGACCTGGCAGGCAAGCGCCAGGAATAGCACTTTGTCATAGCCCAGTTGAGCCCCACTAGGGCTGCGTGTGCTGAAAGAGCACCTTCAGGAAACTCTGGGAGCATCCTGAACTCCAGGCAGCTGTGGGCAGGAGGGCTTCTTGTCCACCAAGGTCAGGCCAGGAAGGGTAGTTACAGAAAGAGCTAAAAATTATATCTAATATAATTTTATCTACAGTTGAGGGGAACTGTGCAGGAAGTTTTGCTACCAGGGTTGCGTATCTGCTGTTCAGGAAAGCTGGTGTTTGCTCTGGTGCAGGATACATGCCTTTGGTTTCTCAGAGGGCCCCTGTCCCTCTCAAAACATGTTCCTGTGCTTTTCTGGGCTACATGCCTCTCAGCCTGAAGCTCATTGAGATTGCCCACCTCTTTGCATAAAAGGGCTTTCTTGCTCATTCCCCCTCTCCCCTTTGAGGATCATGGGGTAATTCAGGTCAGCAAGGACCTCAGGAGGTCTCAGCCCAACCAAAGCAGGGTCAGCCCTGAAATCAGGGCTTTACCTGGTCGGTTCTTGAAAATAAAGACTGGAGATGGCATAGCCGCTCGGGTAACCTTCTCCACATTGCTGAGCTTCCCACAGCAGAAAGTGTCTCCTTTGTGTTTGCCTGCAGAGCTTTAGTCTTTTGGGACTGGAAATCCCTGTGCCAAGCCCCTGTGGGGACATGGGAGCAGCTGATGAAGCCTTTCCTCTTCAAGACATTGCAGGAAACTCTTCTATGCCCTTTCCGGCTCTGTTATCACTCCTGGTTTCTTGTAATCCTCACAGACTCTCATCCCAGACCTCTGCTGCAGGGACCAAATATGCTTTTACTCTTTGCCCTAGCAGAAGTGTAATTTTATTTTATTTTCAGTGAGATTGTTAAAACATTTCTGCACTGTAAGATTAGGAACTGCCATTTAAATTCTTTTGATAAACCCAACCACACACATCCTTCTATTCTAAATGAAACAAAGGGCAAAGGGAACAGATTTTTTTTGTTTGTTTTTGGAATGATCTCTCACGGGACTGTTCTGGTTACTGCATAATTGGCTGTTTGTGCTGCAAAATCCCGCTCCTGCAGGCCTCATCCCCAGAGCCTGGTAGCATTACTGAAAGCCCAAGTGATGGAAATCAGCCCTTGAGCCCAGATCACAGATGGTTACACTGAAAAAGATCAGGGTTTACTTGCATACGTGCAGGAGGGGGCTCCACATTTGGCAGTGAGGCTGGCTTGAAGCATTCTCGGCCGTTCGTGCTCCTGTGACTCTGCTTCATTGTGCTGGCACAACATCTCATGGGGCTGGGCTGCGAGTCAGGTCCTGGAGCTGATCCAGCTGGAAAATGAAACAGCAAGGTGAAAAAATGTGTGTGTTGGGGGGAATGGGTTTCAAGCCCTGTTGATTCCTGCTCTGAGTCATAGTGCTCCTGCACACACTTGCTGGGGGCCACCACCTTGGTGCTTAAGAAGAGGTTAAAGAGAGCAGGCAAGGAATAAGCCCATTTGTATCACCTGCCCTTGTGCCCATCCTCTGTGGGTTTCCAGGCACCAAGTGCAACTCTTCCCCTGACAGCCAGCTGTTCTTCCCAGCTCAGGCACTTGCCCTGCACCTCTCCTCCCAGCCACAGGAGCTGATTCCACTGCAGCCTGCAGCTATCTCTTTGTGAGACCATACAGTTTTGTTATGCCGTTTTTGTTATCTGCCCTACTTTAATAATTTTCACTCACATTCTGCCCTTATTTCCTCATTTGCAAACTCACCACGCAAAAGAGGCTATCCTCTGAGCAGAGCATAGAAGTTTGGTCAAATATTTCCCAACAGAACACATTTTGCATCAGAAATCACAATTTCAGTTCCTAGGGGGACTCTGTGGGAATCCAAAAATCTCAACATTTCTCAGGTAAAACAAATAAACGACTGACAGCCAAAGCACATTTTGATGAACTCCTGTTTCTGCCTTCCAGGGGTGACCAGCAAGTGATACTTGATAAGAGAATCCCCACCACCCTGCCAGCCCAAAATGTGACCTGAGCCCTGTCACGTCCCTGGTACTGTGGTTGCCACCAAGTCACTGAGCTGGTTAAACTGATGTCAGCTTGTTTTCCTGCAGTGACACTCGTACCGGTGCTCCCACGTGCCAAGTTTTAGCTCAAATGAATTGTTTTTAAGTGGCCAAAAATACATAGACAGGATATGAGTAGGAAGCATAAAATGGGGTGGGAAGAGGTGGCAACGAATGCTGTCGTGATTAGGCTAAGGAGGCTGGAAAAGCCTTAAAACATCAAATGTGGTTTTCAAGACATGAATCTCCCTCATATCTTCTGCCCCACCTTCCTGCCCAAAGTCAGAGGGTGAATTTTAGAGCAGGAAATGAAAATTATTGATGTATTAGCTGCCCCAAGCCCGAAGTGCTGTATGCAGACATTTGTAAAAGGAGTAGGGAGCGGTGTGGAACAGCTACTTGCTGGCACAGGCAGAGGGAGAGAGGCTGCAGTCCTCTCCCTTTCTTTGGGGAAAGATCTCGTGGTGTGACCTTCCTACGCAGGGAAAGAAGCATTTCTTGGTTCACATTTACCCATTATGTTCTGCATCTTGCTGCAGCCCCAGGGACTTCAAGATGACCATGCTGAACATGGTCCCAAAAGTGGCTCTCAGCCTAACAACAAGCTTCTCTCAGCTGCAAAAAAAAAAAAGCTCTCGACACACTAGCTGCCCTGCTGCACACCTGAACCTCTGCCAGACAAATGAATCAGCACTCCAGGGAGTGACCAAGAACGCTCTTCCTTTAGGAGGAGGCAGTGGAAATGTCCATCGATCTCAATGCCTCTGTCTTACTCATGAACCGGTGGTGTGCAGGAGTCTGTTTACAAGGCCAACTCCTCCTGCCCCTCCTGGGGATTGGTGAGGGACCAGCCATGCCACCCAGACATCCTCCCCTGAAGCATTTCTTCCCAGTCTAGGGTGGCACTAGCCAGGCAAGCAGCGTTCAGGTTTGTGTCACGGTCCTCCTGGGGCTAAGGCCTTTGCTGGGAAGCAATTTGGAAAATGCGTTTGTCTGCCAAATTTATCTGTTAGGTCACCTGTAAAAGCAGTAGCTGCAGAGGCTGACTTGTAAGGATTGTACGGTACTAGGTGGGGTCACGGTGTACCTACACATTAGAGCAAATGTTTAATGAACTATTAATGCACTTAGGTGGTCAGCCCAAAGCAGTCACCACTGTAACAGCCAGTCAGTCACCAATCTGCATGGCTGCAGCTGGCAATAAACCACAGACACCCCTGGGGGATAACAGGGACCACCCAGGTGTCAGTGTGGTGTCAGGACAGTTGTCTGGTAGTTGGATCAGCTGCTACTTCTGGAAGAAGCCGAACGAGAAAGGAGAGGTGTCCCTGTTGTGCAGTGAGGAGCACGTGAGGACCAGCTCTGGGAGTCAGTCAGTGCCTGCAGCCAGCAGACACGAGCACGCTGCCAGCTGCACACAGGGCTTTGGTGCTTTGCCTGAAGACAGAAGCGATTCAATGCCCTCCTTCAGGCTGGGCTGGAGCAGAACAGGGCAGTGCCTTGGGCCGTGATCCGTCCTGCTCTGGAACATGACACACACGCAGTCACTCCCTGTTTTTACTGGCCTGACATCCGAGTCCTGATTTCTACACAGAAAATAAAAAGAATCCCTTTCAGCAACAGAGGCACAGTGTCAAATCCTCCCCCCTTCTGAAAATCACAGCTCTAACCCCCTTGCTGCCCTCTAACCCCCTCATTTCCTGCCCGCTCTCTTCTCCCGATGCCCCATCTGCCAGCAGCTGGACAAGGGGACAGCCTTTGCTCGCAGAAGGTGTGGGCACAAAGGAAAACAGGCAGAGGAAAAGACTACAAATTTCCCCACACCACTCTTCCCTTCCTGGGAATCCTAAGGAACTCGTGTTGAATTTCTTCCCAGGGGACTCACAGCACGCTTTGTCCCATTGGGATAGTTTGGAACTAGGATCTTTTTACACCATTTTAAAGAGCTTTCATACAGCGTGCACTCCTCCGCCTCCCTCCATGTCTCCAAAAGCATCTATTAATACTTGGCACGCTATTTCTGGGCTGGATTCTGAGGCTTGCTAAACCGCAGCCCAAGCACAGGTAATGCTCAGCTTGGCAGCCCCGGAGGAGCCGGGCTCGGCAGATGCAGCGAGCCCAGGCCTGCTCTGTGCTTTTCCGTGGCTTCTGTGGGGTTTCTCCAAGAGAGAGGAAAAGTGTGAATTCAGGAGCAGTGACTCAGCCTGAGGACTCTGCCCACACTTCTTTCAGAGGGGCAGCGGAGGTGGAGTCAGCTTCCAATTTTTGTCCCAAGATCCTGGCGATTGTGGCTATTCGCGCGTTCTCCCTGGATATTTATAGGGCAAGGCACTGTCTAGACTTGCTTTTGGTTGTTTCTTTAAGGGGAGTTTTACCTCCTGGCAGGAATATAAAAGATCCTAGTTTGGTTCAGCTTGTGCTGAGAGCCTTCCTCTGCCACACCGGCCTCTGTGGGCACCCAGAGCCTCCAGCACTGCCTGGGCTCCTGACCTGGGTCTCCACTAAGGGCTGTTTGCAGATCAGCCATGGACTGCAAACAGCCACACATGCGCATGTGTGTACAGATGTGCTGCAGGGGGATGATTTCCCATCCTTTCTCTAGGTGATCCGTGAATCTCACATCGAGAATTTGTAAATATTGGCACTTCTGCTCCACGGTACCAGTTTGTGTTTCAACACAAGCCTCCATTTCATCCCCGTGATGGATCAATAGTGCAGACAGCAGATGTGTCGCCTCCAAACTCCTACTGCAAGCTGGCAGGGCTGTGTGGCCCACGGGGACCGCTCATGCCAAGCCCAACTGCCGGACAAGCATGTGGGTGTTCCCCTTGCAATGCTGGGAAGTAGGCCTGTTTGCTTATAAAATACTTTTTTAAGCACAAGTTGTTGTTTCTGAGGAGGTTGGTGAACAAGGCACTGGCTCCTCAGGTGTGATCCTCAGCAATGGGTGTAAGTCTTATCCCATTTGGGCTGAGCACAGAAGGGCATGGTCTATAAGAAGGGGGAGAGACTTAAAAAGCAGCAGTTGGGGCCCATCAAAGCAGAAGGGTGGCTGTAGATCGGAGGTGTCTTGGCCTAAAAGAGCTGCTCCCTGCTTCTTCCATGGAGGCTGAAGAAGACTTGGTTCTTCTCTACCTGGGCCTGGGTATTCGATAGCTACACAGTGAGTAACACACCAGTCACAGCTGGGATTTGGCCAAATCTACAACGTCTTTCTGCCAGCAACTGATGTCCCTGACCTGCTGGGCTGGGTTGTATTTATCCGGGTGCTTGTCTTGTGGAGAATCTCTGCAATGTGAAAAATCTTGTGTGCAGAGCAGGGAGTGTTCCTTCCAGGCACCCAGCAGGCTGTACCCACTGCCTGTGATTCTAACGACTGTAACACCTACGTGCTGTGCGTACCCTGATGCTATGCTTGCATTTGGGCTCACCTCTTCCATACGGGCTAGCATCTTCCCAAAGCAACCTGTGATCTTGACTGGCTCTGCCACTGCAAAGATGAAAATTTGAAAGGGTGCCACGGGTGGTAGGGAGGAAGCAAAAAAACAGAACCCCAAAACATGGGGTTCTGTAAAGACATCTCAAAGAGGGCAGGTAATAAAGGGGACTCCCAGGGAGTCTCTGAGAGAGATTGGTTGGATGCTTTTCCCTTCTCGAAGCAGGAAATCACCAGCAATAGGTTCAAATGGAATCATGAAGCTTAGACTTGGCCTCGCTGAACCACCTTGACTTGCAAGGCCTGATCTGAAAGATGGGATTTGGAAATTCCAGTCTTAAGAGGAAACGTGTCTTGTTTGCTTGCCTTTACAAAGCAGCAACAACAAATGTAGCATGTTCACTTGCTTCTTTGCTCTGGATATGGGCTTCCCCTGATGCTATCTGACTAGCCGCAACACAGTTTTTTTTAGGAGTATATGCTGTTGGAAGAGACCCTACAGAACAGGTTTGAGTTTCTTTCAGTGAGCCCTGCCAGGCTTCCTTCCCGGCAGGTTCAGAAAAGCAACTGAAGGCAAGAGAAGGGTGGGTTCTTCATAAGGATGCTGGATCAGGACACACAAGACCCAGGTTAAATTCCCAGGTCTGCTGCAGGCTCCTGGGTTACACCCCACAAGCATTTTAGAGACCTAAAGCAGGCCATGTGAATTTACAGCTCTCAGGTGCCCCATGGGGAGCACTGAGCACACACCCCAAAGCCTCCCCAACACCACAAAGCTGTTCTGTTAGTTGGATGGCGTAGGATGTAGCCCCTTCTGTCTGCCTGCTCCTCCCATATGTTACCACAGCAGGCAGGGCAGATGACAGGAGCTCGAGGGACGCTCACAGGGGCTGTCTGGAGCGTGAACAAGCCAAGCAGTGCAGGACACATCCTGCCACAGCGCCTGTGCTCCTCTGCTCTTGTGTACATGACAAGGCTTAGCTCTGCAGGACAGTCTGTCAAACAGCTTTCGTCAGCATCACATTCCCTTACAAAAACACCCAGCAACTCTAACAGACAGCGCTTTGTTATCCTGGGAAGTTAAAAAGAAAACATCATGAGGTGGACGGCTAATGTTTCTAACTGATGCTTTATGCTGCTTGCCGAGGCTTTTGCTAATTGAGCACCTCTGCCTGGCCCATCCAGTCGGCTCTGGCTGCCTGCACAGACAGCAGCATGCTGCCGGGGATCCATGCCCTCCTGCCCTGGGGCAGCCTTTCCATCACGTACATTTCACCCACGTTCATGCCCCGTAACCTGCTTGGTGGTGCCTTCCCTCACCACGTCCTAGGGCACTTCACATGTGGGGCAGAACAAGGCTGTTCCTACCACCAGCTCTGGGCTGCATGGATAGGGCTACCTGGACCACTTCACTTGTTGGCCTCAGCCCTGTTGGCCCAATCCAGTCAAGAAAAGCTTTAGGCTGTGGACATTAAGCCCTATTTGCCCCCTTTTTGGTGACACACTGGTTAAACCAATTAGTAGTAGTACAATGGCTCCAATTATGATAATATTTCAGTGCAAGTCCATGGACATTTTGGAAGTCCTATCACACCTGGCAGAATTTTTCAAGATCTGTTAGAAGTGAGTTAGCCCATGCACAGAAAAGCTTACTACTATACCTAGATAGCTTGTTGGGTTTTAAGGTTTTGGAGACAGTTCTTACACAAAACTCTGCCCAGCTCAGGAGTAGCAAGTCCTACCAGACAGAGCAATGGATGAAATGCAAAGTTGAGGTTCCTTTTCCTTCCTCTAGAACCAAGATGTACGTGGTCATTGACAAGTTTTTTCCAGCTCTTCGTGCCACAGTTTTCTTGTGCGTAAAACAGGTGAAGTAATGCTAGTCAGAACTTCACAGAAAAATAAGTGGTTTTTTTGTTTGTTTGTTTTGTTTCTAGTTATTTTTCCTGAAAGTTTCTGAGATTTGGCTTCATCCCAGCTTGGAACTAAAATGGAAAATTTCAAAAATCTCATCCAATACAAACTTAGCTGTTTGAGTGCGATTTTTCCCCTTTCACATAGATGAATATATTTTGTCCTTAATAAATATCAAACACAATATAGCTAACGTTAAAGTACACAATCCAGCTGAGTTTTAACAGATGTTAAACTGGAGATCATTTCAGACTGAATGTATCAAATTTTCCACTCACAAGTGTCTTAAGTTGAGCTTGGCCTTATTTTTTTCTGCTGTTCTAGCAAAACCTGTTACATTCTGCCCAGCATTTCTTTGCTGCTACAGCTGTGTATTGTGATGGGCTCTGATGCCAACAAACCCTCTCCAGCCCACTCTGATCTCAGTCTTAAAGGTGCTCTTAGACCCATGAAGAAAAACACTTGCAGGCACTAGATGCTGTTATTGTTACTGGTATTCACTGTGATTATGATGAGAATTGTACTGGCCCTAAAAATACATGAATATTTCCTACTTTCAAGTTGTCCAATCTTCACTCAGCATTTAGAATTTTTCACAACCCCTTTCCATTTGCTTGAGAACAAAAACAATGCATGACCACAGCAGATGAGTGGGAAGTATTCTTGATAAAACTACCGTGTGACAATCACAGTGATCACCCTACAGAAAAGAGAGCTATTACTTTTTCCTCTATCCCAGAGCTTCTCCACCCTTGCAGGGCTGCAGCTCCCTCTTCAAAGGCTCAAAGAAAGTTAAAACAATGCATGGCCCTTTTCCACTTACTATAAAAGTACAGAAATGGAGCACAGACAACAATGACAGGCTCCTATCATGAATATGTGTGTGTCTTTGGGAGGATATTTGACCTTCAAGGGCAAGGATGTCCGGAAAATCAGGGAGTGAGATTTCCTTGGCTTTTAAGCACAATGCTTCACCCACCTCAGTATCCTTCAGCGCTGGCTTCCACTGGTCTCCCTTGGGCCCCCAGTTCAGCACATGGGACCTCTGGGCATAGCTTGGGCAGATAGAGATGTGGGATGGAGGCTTTACAGGGTCACTGCTAAATTTGCCTCTTGCTTCCCTTCCTTATGCATGCTGGCCCACTGGGGAAGGAGGAGAAAGTAGCCACACCCTGCAGGGAGATAAGAGAGAGATCAGGAACCCTCTAATCAAGAGAGTGTGAGCACAGCTGTAATGACAGCAGAAGGTGAAGACAACATGTGCATTGAGGTTGCAGGTTGATGGAGCTCTTAGAGATGTCCTCATGGGGACAGGAAACCCAGGAAAGCAAGCTGCTTGGTCACAGCCCCCTGAGCTTCTTGCTTCTTGTCCCTGGCTCCATCCACATTTAGAGGTGATGTTCTCTCAGCCCCTTCTTCTTATTATTCAAGTCTGGTTGTCTCTCAATTTAGCAAAATAATTACAAAGACTCCAACCCCTCGGAAGCGTGTCCTCCCCCAGTCAACCAGCCAGGATTCAATTAATATCAGACAATTTAAACTGAATTAAAAGCTCTGGCACAAGGATCTGTCCTGGTTTAATTTGGCCAGCATCACACCACACCCTCATTTCACTTAACACAAGTTTGAACAGAGACATGGTCCTTAAAGCAGCATCAAGAAGGTTAAATAATGAAAATAGCATGAATAAATAAAAAGCAGGGAGCCCAGCAGGATAAAAACCTGCTGACTCGGCAGGCGCTCACACTGCTCCCTGCTCCGTGCCCTTGTTCAGGTGCAGGCGACCTGGAAGCGAGCACAACCTCCCAGCAGGCAAAGGACTGGGGTCACAGGGGGCACTGGGAGCACTGGGGTTACTGCAATTACGAACAAGGAGATGGAGCAGGGATCACTCAGGCAGATGGGTCGGACAGAGCAATTGATATCAGCACCGCTGGCATTTCATGCTAACGCATTACAGCTTCTGCTCGGCTAAGCAAAAGCCTGTTGGAGCATCAGCGTACGAGGGACACAAAGCCTCTCGTGCTGTTTTCTGAGTGGCAGGTTGTTCCCATTGCACACTGTAAGGCAGCATGTTGGCAGGTAGTTCTGGTAACTGCAAAGGTCTGGAGACACTTCTAGTAGCCGAGGTACACACTAGCTTATTCTGCCTTCCTCTAGGGAGCCCAGCTTACTCCCTTAGGTATTTTCTTATTAACCATCAGCAGATAAAGAATTGGCACATTTTATGGCTGCTCCTGTTCTACCCCTGAGGCTGAGCAGCGAATGCTGCCATTCCCATTCCTCTGGCAGCAAGGCAGGATTTGGCCAGATGGATTCTTCTAAAAGCAGGACCAGATCCCCTAGAGCTTGTCTTTTGCTTGTGAAGGAGAAACCAAAAGCAGCAAGTCCTCAGCTGCAACCCTGGTTCCTCCTGTTGTTTTTTTACAGCTGGGGCTGGGGAGCAAGCTCTGAACTCCACCAGGCAAACTCGGCACTCCCTTACCTTCTGGAGTAACCTGGATTTCAGCCCATTAAGGACACGGCCCTGCGGCAGTAAGTGAAAGGGAGCCAGAAATATTACATTAATAAGCAGAAAGGTTCCCAGCTCTGATCATTAGCCATGGGACTAAAGTGCTCAGACAGTATAAAGTAAACAGAAGAGAGCTGGGTTTATTAGAGCACGTTCCCTTTTCCAGGTATCTTATGCTAATGTACACAGAGATCTGAGAGATAGGAACCGTTTGAGGACTGTAAGAGGAAACCAGCAGACAGCTATTAACAGAGGAAAAATTCACAGGTACCTAAGCCTGGGCACAGGGACGGGTTTTCTTACGCTCAGAGAGGCTGGCAGAACACCAAGTTTCTATTCTAACATATATAAATTTATAGCCACGTTTGTGTGTGCATGGACTTTGGTGTCTGCCAAAAGAGAGAAGAAAATGGGAATTTAATATATGAAAATGGGAATTTAATATACTATCTACAAATTGCACTTCAAAGTAATTTCTACCTGTGCCTTAGCACTGAGGAGCGTTACTGCGATACAAAAGAGGCTGGAAGCCATCAGGCTGAGCCCAGAAAATGCCAGGGGAGTCCGTGTGAACACGAGTGTGTGGCTGTGCAATGGTAGTAGCAGCGTACCTGCATGCTGTGTGCCTCACCTGAAGAGCTGTATCGCCACAAAGCACATCCCTCTGACGTGTTACAATCGGTAGGAAAGCTGCAAATCTGCCCTGACCTCAGGGCAAAACGTACAGAGCAAAATACCACAAGCGAGCGTTTCCAACACGAGGAATAAAACCGGATACCTAGGGAATCTCAGACAGCTCTGCCGATGATACAACAAGCCCTGCAGCAGAGACAGTCAGCCTCCCATTGGGAAATCCCAGATGCCAGGGATGACTCCAAAGTATTCCCCAGGGATTGCACACAGACTGAGCCTAAACTCAGTTAAGCAAAACCTCAGGGAGGCAGCTCTGCACGTGCCAACCACCTTGAAAGGTCCCATTGCAGGAGCTCCTACTGAAAACAGCGATTAATGCCTTCCTTCAGACCACCAACGGGTATCTTAAAGCCATACCTTTGAATTCTGACAACCTCATAATGAGGTGAGCGGGGTCTGACCCAGGAGAAGGAAAAGAGGCGCTGAGTGCACAGCCCACACACAGGTGCCTCCCGAGCTTCTTAAAAGGGAATAAAAAACCTTGAAGAGTTTGTCTTGGCTTTCCTTCAACTCACGCACTAGAACTGAGGTGGATATCTTGAATCCCAATATGAAATGTTCCCCGAGTTTTTATTATACCTTGTTTTCCCTTCCTTTTTTTTTTTTTTCTTTTTTTTTTTTCCCTTGCAGTTCTGCTCTCAGAGCAGCGCCTGCATCTCTCTCAAGCACTTTCTCATTACTTACAATTCTCATCAGCAGAAGGAGGTGAAATACCAGTGCTAAGCCTGCCTGCCTCTCACCAAGCAGCCAGCCAGTGCAGTAATTATTTTCTCCATCCTTATGCTGCTGGTGGAGCAGTCTTTTCTCTATTCAGGGAATACGCTAGGTAAGGATACTTTAACAGCTAGTGTTTAGCCACATGGCATAATGGCAGTACGGGCATGAAAAATGACTCAGGACACTTACCATGGTGAGCACACGGCCACAGTGATCTGTGAGCCTGCTAATGGCCTCAGAGAGGCCATAAAGTCAAAGGTTTCATCGGGCCATACTAAACCATCGGCAGGGCTGCATTGGTAGAAGGTGGCTGTGCTGAGATGCTACGGAGTCTGGGTGTGCCTGCACGGGCTGGGTGAGAGGGGAGAGGTGGAAGTAGGTTTCAGAAAGGTTGTGTCATCTTCACCTCGGCCCAGGTCAGAGCTGTGACAAGTGTCTGAGCCACGGGGCAGAGACCAGCCTGGAAACCCTACTGTGCCCAGCTGACCGCTCTCACCTGCCCAGGCTGCTGCCTGGGGACCCCAAGTCAGAGGTGGGAAAGGCACCATGCACACGGATAAATCATCTGAGTGTGTGATGTCTGGTTTCTGATTGCTAACCCTGTGTCCTCTGCTTCTGCTGCAGCTGCCTGTCCTGTGAAGCAACATGAGTCTCAAGGGATCCCACGGCAGCAGCTCTGGCTCAGCAAAGTAAGGATCTCCATGGTGGGCTCCTTCCATCTCATGGCTGGTACCTCTGCTCCTTTCCACCACCCAGGGGGATGCTTCTGGGGGTCCCACTTGCCATCCCCTGCAGACCACAGGGGTTTGTTTCACCCTTCGTGGGCACCTCACGAGCTGTGGTGGTACCCAGCGTCACTGCCTCTCACCTCATGGGCATGACTTTCCTGCATGTTCCTGGTCTCTGGAGAGTTGGGTACAGGTGTAAGAGTGCTGCCGACCACCGCCAGCACACAGGGGGACATTGTGACAGGAGCTGCCGGCCACCCCCTGCCTCAGCCATGGCACCTGAGGTGCCACTTTGATCCTCCCCTGTCCCCACTGTTCCCTCAGGCTGCGCACTCCCACACACAGCCTGGGCAGGCAGGGCAGGGGGAGGGATGGCCTTACAGGGGATATAACCCATTCCTAGGGGCCTGACACCCCAAACTCAAAGCATTTTGCTCTCAGTTACATCCTTGCACATTTTTACAGGGGCTGCTTTCTGTGTCTGACCAGCAGGAGTGGGTTTTAAAAGGGTCCATTAACAAGGGCCCTAAGGCCTAAGCTGCCTTGGGTTTAGGTGGACTCAGTGGTAAAATGGGGGTTCTGCTTATCCCTAGCACGGTCAGAGGAGCAAACACAGGCAATTTGGGGCCACAGCATGTCAGATAGCCATGGTGAGGAGGGCAGTTCTGCTCTCCCTTGGGATTGCCATGGGGCTGCAGCGCCAATGACCGCGTGCATTGCACGTGAGAGCAGATGTTAACAAGGTTAACAAGTGACAGCTGATTTCTGCCTTGTCTCTCTTACAGTGGCAGCATGGGCAGAGCAGACGGAGCCTCCAAGCTGAGCGCAAAGGACCTGTACGGTAAGTCATGCCCATGGACATGTAGGGTTTGCTATAGCAAGGGCACCTCTGGAGATCTGGAGCCAGCTGCTAGGGAGCTTTAGGCTGGTACTCAGCCCTGTGTATCAGACCTCCACGCACAGCAGCTGCCCTGAGATGGCAGTGAAAATGCACCTTGCCTCCACGCTGCCATCTCCCACGCGGGGCCCAGCGGTGATTTCGTGCAGACAGGCAAGCAAACGCTTCCTCTCGCTCCCCACCTGCCACCCAGATCCTCTCTAGTTATGCTAGCGAGATAACCCCATAAGGGGCCCAACAAAGGAAAAACTGTCCTCAGCATGTTAATGATTATACTCTTTTAACTACTCGGTGAGCCATGAAAACTCCAGTGCCCTTTGGCTGGTCAGAAGCAGAGGGAATTGGTGGGATTGGCGCTTGTGCAGAGCCTGATCTGCAGCTTGTCCATAAACCACCAGAGCTCCAGAGGAGCCAGCGAAACACGGGCTGAGGAGCAGTAGAGAACATTTAGGTACCAATAACAGTTCTTCCTAATCTTAGAAGCTCTCTTAATGCACCCCAGGTGAAGCCCTGGCCTGTGGGGTGTGCTGGGATGGGCAGAACAAGCACAGAGCCGTGTCAGAAGTCATCCCCCTCAGCTGCTCTCTGGATAAAGAGAAAGGGTTTTGTCAGGGGGAACACTTGCAGCTTTTAGGGAGCCCAAACCTGCAAACTCTCCCACCAGAGAGCTGTCAGTTTGCCAGGTTGGTGCTTGCATAGGGTGTGGAAGGGCTGTGACAGCTTGTATTTGGTTGGCA